GCTCAGAAAAAGATGGCCTCCAAAAAAGTCAGCCACTACTGGCCACATCTACATGAAGAATCCATGGAATTCCCAAACCTGATATGGCCATGTTTCAAGGTTTCACCAAATATATAGGATCCATTTCAGTATCTATGGATATCTATGGTTGGCCACTTGAGGTTTCAAGATGTTTCAAGTTCAATTGCGCAAGGATCGATGGATCCGCTTCCGTCAGAGTCGAAAATACGGAGGATCCCATCCAACTCGGAGGTGCTTAAGGACACCCCCAGCTTTCGCAGCGAAGCCTCCGGATCCGCATTGGATTTCTGAAGTTTTGAGGTTTCCAACATCAAAAAAAAGGTAGGGAGGGTGTCGAAGCGTACCAACATTGAGATACAGACCTCGGGATTATGGCTTGTCTCGGATTTCCAGGTGACTGTTGTGTCCCTCCGCTTCCGGTCCCGGGCCTGCAGCTCGGATCTGCTAAGCTCTCCATCTTGATTTGAATCGATTCTTTCGAACAGTTGCCCCTGCCGGTGGCGCAGCGCCGCATTTTGCTAAAACAAAACCTTAACCCAACGAAGAATCCATTCAGGAGGTTGTCCCTGCCTCTGTCAAGTTCTCTCGTTTCAACTGGTACACGAGGACGTTCAAAGCTTCATTCCTCACGTGTGACATAGCGTGCGTTGAGACTGACATGATGGACGTGGAGCAGTGGAGTCTTGACTTTGGAAATCCATGTAGATGGATGTAGTACTTAGTAGCATCAGAGAAAATGTTGGTGTCAATCATATAATCATCATCACGATCACTAGCACCAGCACCAGCATCACCATCCTCACCATGCTCATCATCCTCATCATCTTCATCATCCTCATCATTGTCGTCATGGTCACCATCATCATCATCATCGTCATCATCATCGTCGTCGTCGTCGTCGTCGTCGTCGTCATCGTCATCCTCATCATCATCACCATCATCATCATCATCATCATCATCATCTTTCTGCCATATCATAGCTCTGATTCAGCTTTAGATCCCTACCCCACAGACTCCGGGTTCAGATCGCCCAGCTTCAAACGAGGCTTCTCACGAATCTGCATCAGTCTGGCGGTAACGTCCCTGCGCCAAATTTCATGTTCTTCCTGAGCAAATTTCTCCTGCATCAGCTCATGCTCGAGCCTCAGCTCAGGGAACCCGCCCCAAAATACACCAACTACTGGTGTTTCTGTGACAGATGTGGTGTCCTTGCTGTCTGTGATCTGTTGGTGTCATCTACATATATAAAATTAAATATACATGTATGCGTACATACATGCATGTATATGAACATACATACATACATACATACATACATACATACATACATACACACATACACACATACACACATACACACATACACACATACACACATACACACATACACACATACCATACCATACCATACCATACAATACAATACAATACAATACAAAACAATATAATACAATACAATACATTACATACATTACATACAGACATGCATCCATGCATGCATGCATACATACATACACACATACACAGATACATACATACATACATACATACATTCTTACATGCATGCATGCATGCATGCATGCATTCATACGTGCATACATACATACATACATACTTTCCTTACCTTACATTACATTACATTACATCACATTACGATACACATATACATACATTCTTACATACATACATTACATGCATTACATTACATTACATTACACTACACTACATTACATTACATTACATGACATTACACTACATACATACACACATGCATGCATGCATGCATGCATGCATGCAGACATACATACATACATACATACACATACATACATACATAACATAACATAACATAACAAAACATAACCTGACATAACATAACATACATACATACATACTGACATTACACTACATTACATTACATTACAGCACATTACATACACATACATACACATACATACACATACATACACAAACATACACATACATACACATACATACACATACATACACACATACATACATACATACATACATACATACATACTAACATAACATTACATTACATTACATTACGTTACATTACATTACATTACATTACGTTACATTACATTACATTACATGACATACATGACATACACTACATACATTACATACATTACATACATTACATACATTACAAACATTACATACATTACATACATTACATACATTACATACATACACACATACACACACACACACTAGACAAGAATGGATCTTTTAAGAGATCCGTCGGGAACTGAGTCCCCTAACGTGCAATTAGATTAGTTATTTATATATATATATGGGACTATGGTGGCCACCAGCTGCGACTTATATGCGCCCAGGTGCGCCACCACAGTCCCGCAGGTACGTTTCACGGGTCCCAGGGAAGTGTCTTCGTTGGTCACCGACTCCCTCGGGACCCCGGTGACCCCCTGCTTTATTGAAAGGAGAGAAGAAAGAAAAAGAAAAAAGGAGAAGTTTTACATCTATTTAGATGTTACACACACACACTGGTGATAGATCTGATGAGAAATTTGAGAATGATGTGCTTCTGGTCGCCTTGAGGAGTCCTAAGAATTCGAAGCCTAAGGCAGCGGAGCCTGAAGTGATGAAATCAGAGTTGTACTTGTATCTGTTTGAAACCTTCGGTTGACCTAAACAGCCTGAGGCAGTTTAACACAAGCAGGTACGTGACTCCAGCGTCCCAGAGTCATATCATTCATGAATGCAGCCCTCTTCGTTGGGCAATCAGCTGCAGACATGAGATTGCCCCCCTGCTATCTGTACATCAGAAAAACCGCATGCTATAACGCATGATATGGCAACTGCAAAAAAGACGGCCACTGCAGACAGGTTGATTTGTTTCATCAAATTTGCCCATTGCGTGAAGGTACACAACAATGTTTGTGTGGTTTACACCAAGTTTAATGCATTCTCATATACGGCTACAAATTATCGTTTTTTTGGGGGGCCTATCACTTTACATGGTTTGGTGCACTTTCTCGACTGTGCCCCTCCTTCCTAAAGTAGTTTACGCTGATTCTGACCGTACATATACATCAAGAAAAAGTGTGACCATTCCACTTCCCTAGGGGCTGAGACGCAAGGATTAGCCATGAAACGGGTAAGACTAAGATCTTGAATTTTCAACTTGGTCGACCTTTTATCCAGACGATTCTCTCAAGGCAAGGCTGTGGACACCATGTGCCCTCCTTTTCATCCCACTTGAGGAACTCCGACATACACCTATAATAAATACAATCAACTAACCTGCAGAGTATCTTATAGCGAGCTGGTTCCCCCATGAAAAAGGTATGGAGAAGGGAATCATGTCATGTGCGTGTCAATGCCCTAATTACATGACCAGCCAAGGGTTCAAGAATAGGCCCCCCTCTAGTTCATGCTCTGTTTCAGCGCGAACCCATATGTACTCCGTTCTTGGCCTCATACTCAGCGATCCCCAAGCCATGTGAATCCCAACTAACCCCAACTAGTTCAGTGATTTTGAGTGACCATCTGACCATCCTGGAATTTTCGAGGAGACAAACTCGTGGGTCGGTCAGTTTATGGCTCGTCCTATCCTGGATCCCATCGTCCCATCCCCAAGTGGCCACTTGGGCATCTCTCTGGCTGGACGAATCTTTCCCAGCTTCGGTCCATGGACGGATCCAGGCGCCCCGAGCTTCAGCGTGGGGGCCTGTCGATGCGCCGGATACACCGAAGCTTGGAAGGTTGAACGTAAATCGTCTGTTCGTGATATGTGTATACAGTATGTATATACAAATAAGTATATATATAGAGAGAGAGAGTAAGGTGTTATAGATTCTTATAGATTGTCATAGATTATCATTGATTCCTATGAAATACTAAGATGGCTTTCCTTCATTTTGCGTGGACCCTGGGCTCTCTTTTTCAGAGATGCATCCCAGCCACACTGGCCGAGAGCGACATTTTACCTGGCATCGTGGCGGAGACAACGAGCGAAACGTGGGGAGTAAAAAATATTAATTAAGAGGAGTCAAGTTAGCAGTGTATATGAGTTCATGGATGTTTATATATATTATATTAATATATAAGTCGGCAAGAATCCAGATTGCCAAATTGAATTTTGGAGATTCAACCAAATCACAAAATGATTATCATCAAGCTGGTGATGTTTTCTTGAAACCCTCAACAGCCTCAATCGACTGCTCAATTCTTTCACATGACGGCTTCACCTTCAGCTTTTGCCGATTTTCCATCAACTTTGCCACTACCAAATGGATGACGGACCAGAATCTTTCCGATGGATTTCATGCCTCAGCGGCTCCCCCAAAAACCTGCGCATCAACTTGATCATGTCAGGAGGCAGCCAATTTATGCCCCATTGTTCACATCCACGATTTTGCACGAATTCCCCAATGACTATTGTGGGGAGAAAAACGAACCCCCAAAAGAAGTGTCCTGCATTTAAAAGGACGTGGACACGTCGATCTTCAGAGAGACATCATTTCTCCATGTCCAGCACTGAGGTCAAGGCTGAGACGGCGCACTGTGTTAGTGTTCGGACATCTTTGCTCTGTCAACCCAGCGCCCAACTATGAACTGAACGGCTGGCAGGTGCAGTGCTAAGTTCAAATTTCGCTGAGGTTGCTGCAGGAATCCTTTTAAATCCACCATCGAGTGGCTGATTTTGACTACAATTTGGGGAAGCCCATAGAAAGTGCTGATCAACATCAACAAGACATGATTTGACCAATCTGAAAATCAAAAACGTTCGAAGTTCACAACAACCCCTTGGAAAACATCTCAGATAAATGTCCAGGACATGCTCGGTCATACCCCAAATCTATAGAAGCAGAAAGAGGATTTGTCAAAAGTAAAGAAAACATTACTTCATATTACTTCCCATTTTATTTCTCAAAATTCCTATCATCTACAAAATTCCAGAAATTTTGCCTCGCCGAGTGCCGCACGGATCTTGCCAAAGCCTCTAAGATCTCGCCCATGGCGGCCTCCGATGAGACGGTCAGTCGAACCTCCCACGGTGCAGATTTTGGGTGCAGATTCCGCCTCGCTAATGATATCAGTGCAGTTTGGTAAATACCAAACTGATATATTGTACAGATACATACATAGCATGACATAGCATGACATAGCATGACATAGCATGACATAGCATGACATAGCATGACAACATGTTAATAACATAACACATAACATTGTATGACATGACATGGCATGGCATGACATGATGTGAATAACACTAAATATGTTACACACATGACAGACATGACATGCATTGCATACAAAACGGGCACAACATACATAATACACAAAACATGCATAAGGTAAGGTAATGTAAAGTAAAATAACATATCATAACTATCATGACATTACGTTACATACATTGTGATGTCTATTAATATCATGTTTTCGCATGTTTTCGCAATGTATTTACCCAGCAATATTAGTGGAAACCGTCGCTCAAGAAACGCACCTTTGCACAACATGCGCACACGGTGCCTCTGAGTGGCTGATCGCATGTCGGATGCGCAGCTTGACTGTGTCCATCTCAGCTCTGTCCTGGAGTTGGAGTGATAGAATGGTTATGGGGATACAATGGTGGATATCATCCCAACAACCGTGATAGCAAAGGGCATTGTGACTTGCTATCTGCCGCGGGACGCCACTTTGGTTTGGAAAGTCACAAGTGGAATTCACCAAATTAATCAGCACAAAACACGAAACAATGTCGTTTGATGTGGTTTGCTACCAAGACCGAACCACTGCTGTAGGCCTTGCTTGAAACTGCGCCATGAATGCCCAGGAGTGAACCAGCATCCACACGCAACAGCTCGGTTTCCACCTCAGCATCGATGGTTGACCCAGGGGGGCGCAATTATTGGTGTTGTCCGAAAACGGTGTACTACACCCCAAAATCCCACGGTTCATCATCATGTTCCGTGTTGAAATTGTTTTAAATTTCGGCCCGCTTCCCCGACTTTCATCAAGGAAAAAAAACTTGAGAGGGGGAACACGAAAGGTAGGTAAGCAAGAAAGGAACCGAAGAAAAAATGAAGGGGAGAGGGCAGGGAAAAAAACATAAAGTGGAGTCTGGTAAAAGCGACGCGGCCAGTTTCTTTCCAAAAATATGAAGGGGAGTCTGGTAAAAGCGACTGAAAGGCTTCGGCGATGTGGTTGGGGTTGGTGGCGGTTGTGGTGTTGGTGGTGTTGGTGGTGCTGGTGGTGTTGGTGTTGTTGGTGTTGTTGGTATTGGTGTTGTTGGTGTTGTTGGTGGTGGTAGTGTTTCTGGTGTTGTTAGTGTTGTTTGTGTTGTTGGTGTGGTTGGGTTTGTTGGTGGTGTTGGTGTTGTTGGTCGTGTTGTTGGTGTTGGTATTGTTTGTGTTCGTGTTGTTGTTGTTGTTGCTGTTGTTGTTGTTGCTGCTGCTGCTGATGGTGTTGTTGTTGTTGTTGTTGTTGTGTTGTTGTGTTGTTGTGTGTTGTTGTGTGTTGTTGTGTGTTGTTGTGTGTTGTTGTGTGTTGTTGTGTGTTGTGTGTGTTGTGTGTGTGTTGTTGTGTGTGTGTGGTGTGTTGTTGTTGTTGTGTTGTTGTGTGTTGTGTGTGTTGTTGTTGTGTGTTGTTGTGTGTTGTGTGTTGTGTTGTGTGTGTGTTGTTGTTGTTGTTGTGTGTGTGTGTGTGTTGTGTGTGTGTTGTTGTGTGTTGTTGTGTGTTGTTGTGTTGTGTTGTTGTTGTGTTGTTGTGTGTTGTGTGTTGTGTGTTGTTGTGTGTTGTGTGTGTTGTGTGTGTGTGTGTTGTGTGTGTTGTGTGTGTTGTTGTGTGGTGTGTGTTGTTGTGTGTTGTGTTGTGTTGTTGTGGTTGTTGTGGTTGTTGTGTGTGTGTGTGTGTGTGTGTTGTTGTGTTGTGGTGTGTTGTTGTGTGTTGTTGTGTGTTGTGTGTGTGTGTGTGTGTGTGTGTGTGTTGTGTGTGTGTGTATTGTGTGTGTGTTGTGTGTGTTGTGTGTGTTGTGTGTGTGTGTTGTGTGTGTTGCGTGTGTTGCGTGTGTTGTGTGTGTGTGTTGTGTGTGTGTTGTGTGTGTTGTATGTGTGTTGTGTGTGTGTTGTGTGTGTTGTGTGTTGTGTGTTGTGTGTGTGTTGTGTCTGTGTGTGTGTGTGTTGTGTGTTGTGTGTTGTGTGTGTGTGTGTGTGTGTGTGTGTGTGTGTGTGTGTGTGTTTGTGTGTGTTTTGTGTGTTGTGTGATGTGCGTTGTGCGTTGTGCGTTGTGCGTTGTGCTTTGTGCGTTGTGCGTTGTGCGTTGTGCGTTGTTGTTGTTGTTGTGTTGTTGTTGTTGTTGTCGTCGTTGTTGTTGTTGTTGTTGCTGTTGCTGTTGCTGTTGTTCTTGTCGGTGTTGGTGTTACCCCTGCAGCGTTTTTGCTCGGTTCCGTAGTGGCCGAAAATCGTCAAATCGGTGGTGTTTTCGCGTGTTTTTGCATCGCTCGGAGCAAAAAACACCGTAAATACCAATGTTTTTGGCGGGTCGGAAGCCCAAAACCACGGTATTTACGATGTTTTTTGCCTCTGGTAGTAAAAAGCACGGTATTTACAGTGTTTTTTGGCCAGCACCTAGCAAAAACACTGGTATTTACGGAGGTTTCACCATGTAGCAAAATGTGGTTTCTTGATCCGAAAAGAACAAAAATACTGTAAATTACAGTATTTTGAGTCTGCTCTTAGGGTGCGTGGGAGGTGTGGAGGGGGGGGGTACTAAAATGACTAGCAATCTCCTGAAGAATCAGGTAACGGGGCTGGCCGCCCTCCCCTTTACTTCGTAAAGTAAAACTCAAGGTAGCCCCTCTGGAGCTACCTTTCGTGACTATGGTTGATGTTTAACTCACCATTCTTGTTTGCTAAATCCTCATTGTTGTTGGTAGAATTTCCATGTTGCTGGTTCAATCCCCATTTTTGCTGGCTAAAATCAACATGTTTGCTGGTTAAAATCCTCATTGTTGGAAAAAAATACCAAGTTCTTGCCGGTACAATCCTTTTTTTCTGTTTGTTGACTCCCCATGTGAACTGGTTGTTTCCCAATTTTTGCTGGTTAACTCTCACTTTTTGTTGTGAGATCCCGGGTTTTCTTCCGCTGATGTCACCGTGTGTTCTTCCAATTTCTTCTGGTGCGCTCCCCACCTTTGATGGTTAAAATGTTGGGTTTTTCCATTTCAAATCCCAGTTTTCTATAGTTTTCTGAGATGCATCTCGTAAAATCCACACGTGTTCCATGTTTGTTGCACCCCTTGACGGCCTCAAAAATGACGCTGCGAAGCTTGGGATCTGCCAGGTGCTCCGTCAAGGTCTGTTGCAAGCGCTGAAGACCTCGGCGGACTCGGCGCCATGGGGATGTCATGGAGATATTCATCATCATCAAACATAAATATTAATGAATAGTGGGAATATTAATATCATGGAATATGAATATCACTATTGTAAATATAATAACCATATATGCAATCATACATGTTACTAAATAACCACTATAATAATCACTATAACCATGTAAATATCATAAGGGATATTCATGAATGATTAATGGGAACCTATAACCTCTGACAGGGGATTATCAACATTAATAGTTATAATTCTATAATGGGAACCTATACCCTATAACATTAATATTAATATGAATGATATATGGGGATGACGAATGTTCTAGGTTCACATTAATATTATAATCATTAGTTTAATCACTATTGTAAATGATAAATATCATGCGTAATGTGTCTGATGATTTTTCACTATTGGAAATATTATGATCATATACATACATTATTAGTGATCATCCCCATCAATATATCAATGAAATATTGTAAATATGGTTTGTGATATGAACACTATGGGGATGATAGTGTAAATATGATAATCATATATGTTACTAATCATGCTCACGTCCATTAGTCACCGGATAAAATACGTTTACTGTAATGGTTATAATCACAATTGATTTCCATATCATATGCTTAATAACAATCATGGGGTGATGATAGGAAACAAATGGAAGCCTATACTAACATTTGTTCAATATATATATATGTGAGAGAGTATATATATATGTGTGTGTCTATATACATATATGTGCATATACTTATATATATATATTGGTTACTATGTATTATCATGTGGAGATCGACTTGTTTATGGTGATTTATAATACCGTTATATATATATATATATATCACTGCACCACTATGAAAGGACATTGGTTTATCTTGTGAATACATATGGGGATATTAAACCATAGCATGGATAGAACGTTGAAAGTTGAAAGCAACAATATGATTCACATGAGAATATGATATAAATTGTATAAGCAAACATCATTGTGATATCATGGGATATAAAGGTGATATACATATATAATGGGATATAATGTGATATGATGGGATATGAAATAATGGTGCAGTTACTCATTTTATTGACCACACCGCCAGAAAACCCTCTTCACCATGTGTTTTTCCCCAACGCTCCGTGATAGAGATAGACCGACAAAGTACTGAATTGCAAGAAACAGAGACCAAACTCCTAAGCGTTTTTTCACGCCTCCACCCCTTAGCCAAACAAGATCGCCCCACACTTAAAAAGCTTCTTACTAGAGACCCTACTCTCTTTGGGCAACTCCAGCACGCGCCAAAGCGCCCGAAACACGTGCTGGGTACAGAAATGGAAGAGATTGGTTGCGCATGGCAAGCGTTTTAAAAAAATAATAGATAAGCTGATTTGATGAATGGTAATCCATGTCGGGGTGAAAATTACAGGGTAAAAAAGGGAAACGCAATGGTCCCACATGTTGTAAAGCCCTAAGTGTCTTGTTTTAAGCGAAACGTTACGGTATTGCAAACACCCCTGGATTCAAAAGTCAAAACCCGTGGGTTACTGTAAGTTTTTACTTCTTGAAACCAATCCCTTGACTGTAGGAACCATGGTCAAAAGGATGTTCTTTCAACTCAAATGGTCTGGTATGGTCATGTCAGCGTCCTAGAAACAGTACCGTATGAATGAAAGAGGGGTCGTTGGGGAGATGGTGAGCACGGGTCATCTCAAGATTCTACCGCCAGCGGAACAGTGGCATTCGCTGAGTTTCAAGCATTGAGGATCGCCACCTGAAGAGGGAGTTTGCCATTCAGCCATGCGATTTTCGGTTCCGCACATGCAAATACATCTGTGTACATATAGATTGTAGATATGTATATTACATACATCACATACATTTTATTAAAAAAAAAAAACAGTCCATTGCATTACATTACATTGCGTTGCATTACATTGCATTACATACACACCATATCATACATACATTGGGTCCGTTGAATACACTGAATACATTACATACACTATGTGCATTGCGCACATTAGATAGATTAGATACATGAGATACATTAGACACATTACATACATACAGAAATTACAGTACAGACATGCATGCATGCATTCATTCATTCCATCCATCCATCCAGCCAGCCAGCCATACAGCCTTCCTTCCATCGATCCACCCATCCATGCATGCATACATACATACAGACACACACACACGGAAATACATACACACAAACAGACACAAATGCATGCATACATACATGCCATGCCATGCCATACTTTACGCGTGCCGCACCATACATGCATACATAATTGAAAGGTTGATTAACCAACAGCCCCAAAAGCCTAAGTTGGAAGCCACAACACACCGAGGGCAGCAGCTGCGGCCTTTTTCCATCGAGCCAAAACGGTATTGAAGATGCAATCCAGTTAAGTAAAGGACCCAAAGACCATCCGGTGCAATACCTGGGCCACTCAAAACTTGCATTGCCGCCTTGTTCAAGACACACATCTGCCACTCTGATGAACTGACACAACAGAGCTTCGCTTGCCTTTCTGTCCTCTTCAATGCGGGCATGCAAACGAGGATTCTTGGCTTGTTGAGATGCTGCCAGTGTGACCAAGGACGACACTCAATTGAGCAATGAATCGAACAACCTGGCAAGGCTTTGACTTGATCAATCAATTGCTCACTGCTCTTCGGATCTTCTAGATTCTAGACTGACGTGTTCTCTGCATAAACGAATGACTTGAGCACCAAGCTCGGCCCCTACATTTCCTAAGTTGGAATCTTTATCACAAGCAAATTCAAAAAGAACGTTTGATCCTTTCAACGAATGCCGACCCTTCAATTGCCGGGCGCCTATGGCGGTGTCATTTTGTGGGTGGGCCGTGGCGCCAAGGCTGCCAGTCACGCCCCCCTGACTCAATGATTCACTGAAAATGTCTTGGACACATTCACGAGACAAAAATGAACACGCATCATTAGCAACTTCGGCAACAACTGACAATCCAGCAACTGACGAACTGTCGGGAGATTTCTTATGCTCATCATTGCTGCCCGGCGGGAATTCAGGAGCTTCTTCATCGGACGACTCTTCTCTGATGGATGGTGAAGGGGAAACATCGAATCTACCAGAAATCAACGCATCATCCATCGTTGGCAAAGACTCACCCTGCAAGGCCTCAACTTGAGCAGGCACGACAAGGTCGCCAGCCTCATCTGACTTGCCAAAAGCACGTTCAAAGCGCTCAATGCACTCCTTGTTGTGGCTTGAAGTGTCATTGTCACAACCTTTGCATCCAGGCGATGCGCCAATTTTCAACATGCGTTTGTAAGTGATGTACACCCATCGACTCTTCTGCTTGGCTTCCGGAGTGCTGTCAACAAACGGAATAGGCAGTGACTCAATGTCCAGAAGCTCTACACGTCGGGGATCTTCAAGATCATGCAAAGCCTTTTCTGCCGCCAAGTGCCAAGGAAAAGCCATTTCTTTTGGAATGTAAACTTCTGCATCATGAAATGTGAAATGGGGATCACGCTGAGATCTTCTTTGAGATGGCTGTACAACACACAGTACAAGACACCTTTGTATCGAAGTCCAAAATCCAACCTCCAACCAACAAAGAACGCAGGTTCAGCATTGGGACTGAATTTGAACTTGCCTTGTTGTTTCGTCCTTACAAATGCAAGTTGGCCAAGCAAATAGTCAGGACCAAAAAACTCCTCACCTAAACCTTTCTTCCAACGAGTTATCCCAGAGGCATCAACAAACTTTGCTGACATAATCGTTGCCACATCACTGCAAGCTTGTGGCCACAGCTGTGGACGTGCAGCAAAAGCTGCTTGAAGAAGTGACCGAGCTACTTCTTGAAACGATCGGATTTCACGTTCCAGTTGCCAATTGTGAGGAAAACGGCTCGGCACAGAGGCTTCTGATAGCCAACCTTGCTCAACTACCGCCTTAGGGATCTTACCAGCAGCGTCTGATTTCACAATTGTAAAATCACTACCACGCAAACCAACAAAGTGCTTGAAAGATGAAGCCACTTGCGCAGCATCGCGGGAAACTGAAGGATATGCTGGAATGAAATTTGAGAAACAATCTTGGATGATGAATACAGAATGTTCTTCTCCTTTTGCTGATTTAAAAACGATGATGTGATCGCACGCAAGTTGTTGACCAAAGGCGTCAGGGTCCGGCAAGTCAATACGATCCTCAGACTGACGAATTGAACGCGCTCTCTTGCTGTACAACCGGGCTCGATTGCAAGCATCACAAAAAAAGGTGATTTTGGCCAATGAGTCAAACAATGTTCTTTTGATAATGCGATACCCCGACCCTCTGCAACTTCACCTGGAATCTCAACTGCAGCGTCAACAAGCTTTGGAGAATCATGCTCAACAGCGACACCACCATGTCCTTGAGGAGCATGGACAACATCGGGCTGGAACAACGGATCCGCATCCAAGTCTGGAATGGCATCAGGAGATTCAACAGGTGCAGGCATGCCAGGAATGATATTGAACTTTTGAGTGAAAAATGGAACATACTCATGAACTCTCGAAGCATGAATCTTGGACCCTCATCGCAATCAACAAACATCTTGGCCCCCCTTCTTGACATAAAACGGCAGTTCACCTGGCATCCACAAAAGACATGCCGTCCGCAACATCCTGCCAAATCGATCGAACATAAGGGCAACCGGGAAGCAAAAAATGATTGGCATCTGAAAAGTGAAAACAGAGAGACTCATGCGATGGACCAAGGAAAGGCCGAATAACCGAAGAATCAACTCCCTGTTGGGCCAAGGCTTCATGAGAAACCAAGTGACGACCAGCTCCACTGTCTGCGGCAAATTCCAAAAGACCATCAACTCAAAAAACCATAGATGACAAGGCAGCTACAAGTGCAACTGCAGCCATAGCCTTTGCCTTAGCCGCTGGTTTGGACGCTGGCTTCGCTTTGGGCTTGGTCTCTGAACTAGCTAGTCCCCCCTGGATTGGCCTTCTTGGAGGAGTCATGAAGATATGGGCACTTGTCACCGTGAACACACCCCATCAGCATTTGGTAGAAGACGCATGGTGTTTTGGCCTTTTCTTCTGGAGACATTTCCCCTTTCGATTTTTCCTTTTCCACCCTTCTGAGCATTCTTGGTACGATCTGCTTTCGGCTTTGGAGTCGCCTTTGTAGTAGTGGCAGCAGCGGCAGGTGCAGTTGCGGTCGATTTTGCAGGAGCGGCAGGAGCGGCCTTTGGTTGCTTCTTCCCTTTTCTTGCCAAAAGATGTTCAAGGCAAATCACAATCAAATTCCACAATGAGAGATGTTTGGGAAATGCTAAGCTGATGAAGTCAAATTGATGAAGTCAAGTCGATGATGTTGCCGAGGCAAAGTGCCAAACTTCTGAAGAACACTCAAAGCAAAATGCCGAGAACACAAATTGCAGTCTTGGGCTTATGCTCAAAGAAAAATGCCGAGACCCTGAAGACCCACACACAGCAAAATGGCGATGAAATCCGGAGCACGGTACTCCCGCTGTGGCACTAACGCAGCCTTTCAGCAGTGAGGCACTTTAGGCACTGCTCTTAGAAAAGTATTTTACAAACTTCTTTGCCGTCGACAACAGAGGCTCCGAAGAAATTGACCAGCCAACGCACTCCTGTCTCAAAAGATCAGAGCGACGAGTCCTTGGTTTCAAGACTTGTCCAATCGGCCTGCTCGCCTCCGAAAACTCCTGGGTGATTTCCAAATTATCAGAACCAGTTGCGCCGGACCGGCAGACCACTTTGCTCCGTGCTGTGAATCAGATTCTCCCAGTTGCAAGAGGACGACTCAATGTGGCTGCAAATCACAAGATGGACCGTGCATTAAGACAGTTGGCACAAGTGGCTTAACTCAGTTAATGTAGCCTTCTGCCGGTGAGGAATCTGCCCGTCAGCGTCAATCCACTCAGCACGCCACCTTGTAATGCGATCGGTGTCCAGCACCTGGTGCCAGTCACAATTGCCGATCCTGGCAACTTGCAATGTCCTCCTCAACTTTCACCAGAGAACGCTGGTCTTGCGACCAAAGGTATGATTTCACACTCGAATGAAGTCTTGCTGGAGTAAGATCTGCATTACGAACCCAAATGCTTCAGTCACAGGTGGAAGCCCAGGGAATGGGAATGCTTTGTACCACTGAGGCCACTGAGGTCTAGAAAAACGATACGGATCAACCAGAGATGATGACGCTGATGCAGGCTCACCGGAATCGTCTCCAATTGTAATCACTCGCGGCCGTGATGAAGAAGATGGAGCAGAGACAGGCTTCGCCTTAGGAATCACCGACGAAGAAGCAGATGCACTAGCCTTAGGCTTGGCAGATGCCGACGCAACTCTGCTTTTCGTTTGCCGTAGGGATCAGACGAACCACGGGCTTTAGGAACCAGTCCAACTGTGCGCACAAGCTGATACAACGCCGACTGAGGGACCAACTGCACCAACCTCAAATCACTGAGCGACCTCCGAGGCTCTGGATACTCCACAAGTTAGGCACCGTCGTCTAAAGAAACCGGATTCGGCTCCCAGGTCCTTGCCGTGTGGAGAGGTCTCGCCTGACCACCCTGGGCCTCCTCCACACGATGGCGAATGTACGCCTGCGCTTCCTCTGCACGGCCTTGCCAGAGCGGATCCCACGAGTCCGACCAGGTGCTTCACCATGTTCCCTGGCGAACTCTTCGTAAGTATCTTCCATGTACAGGCTTTTAGGGAGCCTCCCAACCACAAAAATATTTGATGGGGTAAAAGGAACCAACCACAACAGCAACAATCGCAACAATCAAAGAGACCGATACGGCTGATAACCAATTGACATGTTGATTAACCAAGAAGCCACAAAGCACCGAGGGCAGCAGCTGCGGCCTTTTTCCATCGAGCCAAAATGGTATTAAAGATGACATGGACCTTGACCGGAAAGGAAGGGTTTAGATAATGAACAAGTGGGTATGGTTTACTCCACAATATTCAAGTTACTTACATTACATTACATTGCATTGCATTGCATAACATCACATCACATTACATCACATTGCATCACATTGCATGGCATTGCATGGCATTGCGTTGCATTGCATTGCATTACAATGAATGACATGACATGACATGACAGTACATGACCTTGCATGACATTACATGACATTACATGACATTACATGACATAAGATGGCATAACATGACATAACATGACATAACATGACGTAACATGACATACCATCACATTACATGGCATTACATGGCATTACGTAGCGTTACGTTGCTTTACATTGCACTACATTGAATTGCATGATTACATTGCATTTTGTTGCATTTTGTTGTATTTTATTACCTAGCATTACTTTCCATTACATTACATTGCACTACATACATACGTACATATGCAAATACATTACTTTCATACCTGCACACATATACTATGTATGTACTATGTACTATATACCATATACGATTTACTGTATACTATTATACTATTTACTATATACTATTTACTATTTACTATTTACTATATACTGTATACTATATACTATATTATATACTATTTACTATATACTATATACTATAGACACTATATACTATAGACACTATATACTGTATACTATATACTATATACTATATACTAGATACTACATACTCCATACTGTACATCATTGGTTGGTTGTTGGTTGAAAACTTTCAGCCACTTTTGTCTTGTCCGTCTCAGCTCTCTACGGAAGCCAAAGGACAACAAGGTGGGTCTCAGGAGCTGGTAGACAGACATGTAGACCTCCACTGGGTTTCTGCGAAGTCACTGGCCCGCACTAAAAAGCATCAGGCAACCGACCAGCATGGTTGAACGTCTTTTTTGAAAACACACCACAACTGTCCAACCCAAAAAATTGGGATCTTGTCCTCCAACATTTGGTGAAAGATTGGGCATGACCAAATTTGTGGCTCCATTGGCCATTGAGAAAACTGATTGAACGGACAGATTTGCACTGAGAGGTATTAATAATTATTAATATAAGGTGTATATATATTTATATATATATATATATTTATATATATATATATAAGTCGGTTCCAAAACAGTGGAAAATCAATCCTTGAAGCATCATTGAGTTGGCCCAGAACTTTGACAAAACACGGCCTGCTGCTCTCGCGGTGTGTCCACACCTTGGGCGACAATTCCATCCGCGGTGGCCCCAATCATAAAGCCCCTTTTTTGGGTATCATTGTATCATCCTTGACACCCCCACATGATGAAGAAATTGGGAAATAGGGGGTTGTGGCTGTGTGTGTGTGTTTCTGGTTGATGATGTTTGTTTGTTCACCTGTCCACCCTATCGCCTTTTGGGAAATCAAAGGGGTTGGTTTGGTATATGTGTCCCATCTGCCACCATGATGATGCGCCTATCGTTCAATGGGCGTACCGACAAAACAGACAAACCCCAGATTTGTAAACGCTTGAACTGTTTAATTTGGGTGGTACCAGTTTGGTTCCAAAATACCAATGTTTGGGGTGGGGGGGCAAGGCGTCCATCTATTCATCACTTGTCGTAAATAATATACTGCAATCAATCCCATTAATATGCAATTTTCCCTTTCTGGCACTTCCCACACCTGGTACAGTAGGTGTTGTACTTGCTGTTGCCCTGTTTGGGTCATGAGATGGTTATTTCCCATTCTCAGTGGGTATGCCACCAATGTTACATCATGTCCCTGTCCACTTTTGTCTCAGGGGGGGTTCAACCTCAGCTCCACACTTTCAGGCAGTTCTGCAAGTTCTCGTTGAAAGTTCGGGGCTGCCACCCTGTGGCACTTGATGGAGTGAAGTCTATCATGGAATCATGGGGATATTACTTCGATGTAGTGGAGACACAGCCATTAGGATATGGAGTTCGTGATCCTCTCACATCCGATCCTGGTGGCATCAACAAGTTGTTTAGTCAACTTAGCTTCTGGCAATCTTCTCACTTCAGTTACGAGCCTTTTCGCCTGGACGTGACTGGCTCTCGCGATGGCTTCTTTGCCAGTGTCACAAGGTTTCCTCCAATTGGAATCCTTATGGTCATCCCAGAAATCCAATATTTGCACCTCCTCTTGGCTGAGCTCAGGTGTGTCCTGGAGTGGCTGCGGCTAACTTGTACGTATCACATCTGTGTATTATGAATGGTGTGTTGTGTGCTGATGTTTATCATGTATGTAATACGAGTATATGCATATATATATTCATATACATATACATATATATATATGTATACATTCATTCATTCGTTCGTTCGTTCGTTCATTCATTCATGTTCATTCATTTTCATTCATGTTCATTCATTTTCATTCATTTTCCTTCATGTTCATTCATGTTCATTCATGTTCATTCATGTTCATTCATGCTCATTCATTTTCATTCATTCATTCATTTTCATTCATGTTCATTCATTTCCATTCGTTATTTCATTAATTTCCATTCGTTATTTCATTCATGTTCATTCATGTTCATTCATGTTCATTCATTTTCATTCATGTTCATTCATGTTCATTCATGTTCATTCATGTTCATTCATGTTCATTCATTTCATTCATGTTCATTCATGTTCCATTTCATTCATGTTCATTCATGTTCATTCATTTCATTCATGTTCATTCATTTTCATTCATTTTCATCCATTTCATTCCATCCATCCATCCATCCATCCATCAATTCATTCATTCATTCATTCATTCATTCATTCATTCATTTCGTTTCATTCATTCATTCATTCATTCATTCATTCATTCATTCATTTCATTTCATTTCATTTCATTTCATTTCATTCATGCATTAATTCATTCATTCCATTTCATTTCATTTCATTCATTTCATTTCATTTCATTCATTTCATTTCATTCATTTCATTCATTTCATGTCATTTCATTTCATTCATTCATTAATTCATTCATTCCATTTCATTTCATTCATTTCATTTCATTTCATTTCATTCATTTCATTTCATGTCATGTCATGTCATGTCATGGCATGTCATGGCATTCATTCATTCATTCATTCATTCATTCGTTCATTTCATTTCATTTCATTTCGTTTCGTTTCATTTCATTTCATTTCATTTCATTCGTTCATGCATTTCATTCATTCATTCATTCATTCATTCATTCACTTATATACGAGTATATGTGTGTACAGTGTATATATGAGTATATTATATACTGACAGTGTGTATATGTATATACATACGTATGTATAAGTATATATATACATATATACATACATACATATACATATGTCATATGTATGTGTGTGTGCGTGCACATTAGTATCATATAGTTGATTGGAAAGAGTTTACCTTTCACCCTATCGCTGCCAGGCTGCCAGCCAGGCGAGTTTTCTCCTGCAAGTTGTCTTCCTCAGTGTTGATGCCGAACCAGGATCCAGGTGCAACACCTGGCTCCCAAGGTGGGCTGTAAATCAAAAACCTGGGGAAAACCTTTGGAAAACCCACCAAAATCGCCGTTCATCATCCGAACTGTAGTGTTATCAGTTTTGACTCATACCCATTGGAAAAAAATTAACAATTGGTGAGGCATGGCACACCGCGAATCGCGCCTAAAAGCTTCTCAATATCTCTGGTGAGTTCAAAGACTTTTGGATCCTGGTGGCTATGGAACATGTCCACTTTGCAGGCACCGTGGCAACGTGAGTCGACTGCTACACCCACCTGCCCATGAGGGAAGATGGCGCCAAACATTTGATCATACCCCTGACCTGGCACAATGTCGTGGAAGCACCAACCAAGAACAACTGAACAACCGAAAAAAGAGCCAGCAACAAGTCCAAAGCACACCATCAAGCACTTGGCCGGTGAGGCGAGTGTCTGGGAAGCCAAATTTCCTGCAAATCAAAGGTCGGTATCACCGGTCCAAAATGGGAGCTCCCAGAAATTGACACAAGCAAACTAGATGCTGGGTATCTCGAAAATGGTGGTCTTTTGCTATGAATCAACATGGGAATTCCACTGACCTGGAAGATCCTGGAAGATTTGAGACCCAAAATTACCATCTGCGGTTCCAAACTTCAGCAGCCATGCCTCAGCAAGTGTCGGCATGAGGAGATGAACAGCGCTCCAATGCCCATCCGCAGAAGTGCTGTATCTGACTTCTTACGAGCTCCTGCACCGTTGCAGGGGCCCCAAGGTGCACGGTTCCATGGGTGCCATGAGGTATCCCCACATGCTAAGAAAACCTAAGAAATGTGTCGATTACCCTCGCCGGTGTTGTGGATGAATGTCTTTTTTGCTGGTGAATCTCGAGTTTTGCTGGTTTAGTCTCACTTCGTGCTGGTTAAGTCACCATTTTTGTTCCTCACTTCCCAAAGGTTCCAATCCAGACGACCAGTCGAACCCCCAAGCTGCTCTGCGCTCTTGCTGTTGCATCTAGGAGCTGCTGTTGAAACTCATCGCCTTGGTTGCCGTGACCCGTGGTATGGAAATGGAGACGAAACCCGAAAAACAAAAGTTCAATCTGTAGTCATGCTTCATGGAGATTGTCATCCATGGTGATTATATGTAAATACAGTTAGAAGAATATCTCCTGCTTCCAAGGTGATAGAAGCTGACACAGTTGAGGCAACCTCTTTGAGGCTCGAATGATAGTGGAGATGAGACTACCATGCTGGAGCCCACATCGCAACATCATGGCTGATTGGTGGCTTCCACATGGTTAGATGCATCATGCAACTAGTGGTAAACTGTGGCCTCAAAATCCTCTCAGGATCAAACAGTCATGAAGATTTGAAACACCAGGTGATTTATATCTCCTTGTAATTGTATGGCTGTCTCTGAATATGTGTTCTTGTTTATTCAATTTCATGAGGAAAATGATGATAAACCATGGTTACAGTAAGCTTTTCTCCCGAAGATTTTCCGACAAAACCATATCAGCCCTGCACTGGCACATGCATTCTTCACCTTCTCCAAGAACCGTTTGGCCTCGAAAACTGGCACTCAGAACCACAACTGGGGCGTGATGTTAGACACACACCACCTGGCTTAAGTTATCACCACTTACCCACTATGATTTTGATTGTTATTGTCTCAATTATACATGTGTATATATATATGTATATATATGTGTGTGTATGCATGCATGCATGCATGCATGCATGCATGCATGTATGCATGTATGCATGTATGCATGTATGCATGTATGCATGTATGCATGTATGCATGTATGCATGTATGCATGTATGCATGTATGCATGTATGCATGTATGCATGTATGCATGTATGTATGTATGTATGTATATACATATGTATATATATATACATATGTATATATATATACATATGTATATATATATATACATATGTGTATATATATATATATATGTATGTGTATATATATACATATGTATATATGCATATTGTATCTATGTATATAATTAAATTAGATATACATATTGTATCTATGTATATATATATACAGTGTATATTATATATATATTTATACGTAAGTTTAGTTTGGGGACATCAAAAGAACGTCCCGTAACAGCTGCCTAGAAGTGATACTTCATTGGAACCCAGTCGTCGACTTCATCTGGGAGGCCAACGCTTTGAAGTGACAACGTGCCAGGACTTTCACCGGGACTTTCACTCTCCTCACACAGCGAAAAGATGTGACCCCCGATGGATGGGTTCAAGATCCCTGGTTTATCATAGTAGTAGGGCCAAGATCATATCAACATATCAACATTTGATAAACGTTCGAGGGATCACAATCGCAATAACAATTTGTTTTCCGTCTGGAAACTGCAATTGTGATCCCTCAAAATTTGATACCCTCTTGGACCTACTGTACTCCTCCCTACCCACCGCCGCCATCATTGAACCGAATTGGTGCAATCCAAGTATGATACCAGTGTTACTAATCATGTTTCCCTCCACAAGCACATGGATTCTCTGATGGTCATGGCAACTCTCCAACTGTAGCCGTCCTCGGACCCACTGTCGACGGCCTAGCAGATGGCAAAACGACCGAAATCCGTAGTTTCCGGGGTCCGGAACCTTCATACACCACACATCAGCTACTTGGTGGTTCACCCCACGTTGGGGCCCCACTGCCCCAACTGCTGTAATCGAATTCAGGGAGCCGATGCCTGGGGCAAACCACCAAGCTAGTGCGATCATGCATCGAGTGTCATCTTTACGGGAACACGCGCGTACGCCACTGCCTCAAGTTTCTCGAGATGACAGCACTGCCGATTGGCGAGAAACCAAGCCCTGAAACACCATGAACGTGAAAGACCAATTCACCGCTCGGCAGGGTGAGACTATTTACAAGACATGCACTCGGAATTAGCTCCTGCAACTCAGCTGCTTCAGTTTCCTTGCAGCAACGGAGAAATGAGGCATGGAACTGCACATTCTACCAGAACATTTCGATGTTCACGGTGATTCTCGACCGTAGCATTTTATCATCCACATGGTAGTGTGATGTCCCATGAACTGGGCCCGCCAAGTCCAAATGTCTGGTTCTGCCCGCAGATGGCAGAAAGTGAAAACACTGGCCTAGGTGAAGACCGAATTGGCCTATAGACAGGCATTCATTCCTCCAAAATATGGCGTTTTATAAGCGGCATCCCACCCTCGGGATGTCATGGCTGCATTAACACTATTGTTCTGTTTCTAGGGGGATGAGACCTGTCCCCAAATCATAATGCGACCCCACCATGTCCATGGAGACATTGGCCTGAAGCACCCTATGTCTCCGGAGGAACGATCTTATCCTGGCAGATCAAAAAGTCGCGTGCCATGCCCAAAAGGTTGGCTGCCAACCATGGTGCGTACATAACATTACCTACCACTACCACTAACATTACCATTACCATTACCGTCCGTTCCAGTGCCATTACCATTGACAAACAAACAAACAAACAAACAAACGCAAGCAAGCAAGCAAGCAAGCAAGCAAGCAAGCAAGCATCCATCCATTCATCCATCCATGCATGCATGCATGCATGCATGCATCCATGCATCCGTGCATCCATGCATCCATGCATCCATGCATCCATGCATCCATGCCTGCTACCTACCTACCTACCCTTACCTTACCTTACCTTACCTTACCTTACCCACCCTACCTACCTACCTACCTACGTACTATTATTACATTACATTACATTATATACATTACATTACATTACATTACATTACATTACATTGGATTGCATTACGTTACCATATGGGACAGCACATTCCATTACATTTCATTACAAAACATTTCATAACATTACGTTACATTACATCCCATTACATTACGTGAGTACGTATAGAAACATTGTTGTAGGATTTCAATGTTCTATCTTTTCAGGGTTGCTGTAAACTGACAACATGATAACTGACATCTGTTTTCCAAGTAAAAACACCTTGCACATCATGGCCTCCAGCATTTCGACTGAAGACTCATAGACAGTGAGACCCATCTATGCGGATTTGTCCCAAGAAGTGGTATACCCAAATATACCCAATAATGGCCATTTCGACTGGAAACTTGATGAGAAGCCATTGGGTTTTGGATGGTTTGGGGGTATCCACATGGGTATCCTATTTCCAACCCCGGACGAGTTGGAAATAAAAACACCCTCGCCCAGAGAAAGTCGTCGCTGGCAGAATGCTGTCCTTGCTTGCTTTTCTGGATGACCTCAACGGCTGAGCAGGACCTACCTTGAGATTGAACAAATCCTTGGAATACCGGATGTCTTCGAAGGTCCTAAGGTTGTTACAGTTTTGAATCATATTCTATCTGCTATCCATGAAAACATCCCTCGGCCCTCAACATCCTGCATTCTTTTCAAAATAAACAATTGTCGTACTAAGCAACAATTTATTGTATGCACCATGGAGATCCAAAAAAAAACATCAGAAGATATCAGACCCTTCTTACCGCCCAAACTCACCAACATCTGCAGCGCTGCAGGCGAGCAGCTTGCTGGGTCGGCGCGAGCCAGTGCGGCTCGGGGGGTCAGCAGCCACGGGCCTTGGATCCATGGCCCCCATGGCCCCCATGGCCCCATGCCCCCCATGCCCCCCCTGGCTCCCATGGCCGAACACCATGGCTGGATGGAATCCCAAGGTTGGGCCAAGTCTGAAACGCAGGGAAGATCTCCTCGACCTCCTGAGTTGGATCAGGTTGAAAAGACCCATTTCCGTCCCAACCTTAAAGGGCCCTCAGTTCTTGAACACATGTACACAGGAAATTGGCTTGGAGATTTGCCAAGCTACCTCTAGCCAAATTGATTGCGGCTTTCAACCCATCCCAAAAGATGCTTGGCAGCTTGACATGAATCACACCAAGAAAGGACGGAACATCAAACAAGCACTTGAATCACTTGAACACCAACCAGGCAATGAATTTTCAGATTTGCCCACTGTTGGATGCAGTTGGTTAGATGTCCATGATTTAACCTCAGAAAGGCTGTGTCCTCTGTCGTCAAGTTGGCAATCGCAGTCTCCTAGCCAGCAAAGACAGCCAATTGACAAGTGAAGAATGTCGAAACATACTGTTAGACATGTTGCGAACATGTTCAAAACCTACCATGGATTGGTTCCACTGAGTCTACTTGGTTAAAAGAAAAGCCGTAGGGATTCACTAAGGATTCACATCATGAATTGGAACCAGTCCAATCAAACTGATCCTACAACACGAAGCACTTGTCCATGCTGTTCAAGATTGGGATAGATTATTGTACTGCCAAACATACCCCCTAGAAACCCTGCGTTGTGGGTTTAAATCCTTGTGATTCCTTGTGTCTGTTGCTCTTTATGTTTACCTCTGCTGGTTTTCTCCCATAAATCGCACACCTTGAAAAGCTGTCGCAGGCGATTCTCATTGAAGCGCCCGCCCGGCGAATCCGGCCTTGGAAAATCCCCTTGGGAACTCTGCTGAGTCAGCTGACAGGGGTTCCTTATGGTTCCGAAAAAATCATGGATCTGGACCTCGAAGCGACAAATCTTGGGTTCAAAATGGTTCAAACATGCAGTTTCCAGGCGAAATGTGACTGGAAACCGAGACTTTTTACAATGAAATAGAGAGGCTTTACCAAAGAGGTGTTCGTTTCTTCATCCAATTCTGATGATTGGAAATGGATAGAAATGGATCATTTTGTTAAAAAAAAACTCCAGGATTCTCTTCATCCAAACATGTTTTTATGTCAAAAAAACATGGAGGGATGGCGCGAGCCCTGACACTTTGTCCGCCTTGCTGAGGTGCCAACGTCTTGACCTGCACTCAGAGACTCAAACTGGCAGGAAAAGGTGGAAACCTGTGGAAACCCTCCACTTTCTGTGTCATGTTGTGCTGTTGTGCCCAAAAATGAAGAAATGAGGCCGCAACCAACTCAGCAATGCCATCTGTCAGTTTCGCTTGACAGTTCTTCGCCTCAGCATGAGTCTCAAACCCAAAGGGCTGCAATGGTTGGAATGCGACCATTGAAATATATCGTATCTACAATGTTGCAAAGCATAGTATTTGCGGGCCCCATCATCTTTAGCCAAGCCATGAAACCTGCTGATCTGCAATACTGGGGTTCCAGCTGTAAGCTTTGTGATGGTCAGATGGGCAATCTCACCTCGAAGCCAAGCTTTGACACATCCCATGAGAGGTTGGAACCGTGCAAACGGTCTCTCTCAAAATGAAGGGCCCTGAACCATCAGTTTCGCTTCTTGAAGAATTTTGAGTTTCGGCAATGTTTCGATCAAGCTTTGGACATACGCAATGCAAGAGTCTCCAGATTTTTCTGGTAAAATTGCGGGCGCCATGGGGCGAGTCTCCAAATCATTCTAAAGTCGAAGTTGGCTCGTGTACTCCTGTAATCTCCTGTACATGTTAATCTTTCAAAAAACAAGTCTGGGATCGGCCCGAAGTAGATACGGTTCAAAAATCGAGTGGTGAGCACCAAAATAGTTGGCGAATTACTGTTCATCTCCCTATTCTGTGGTCCCGTAGGTATTGGCCCATCCCCAAATGATGGTTTCTTGAAATTGGGGTACCTCTCTAACCATCCAAAACCATTGGTTTCCTTCTCTATGAAAAATGAGCAATAACTTGTGGGGTCCCCCCGGTTTAGAAGAAAACATCAAGCATCACATTGTTGTTGATCAAATGTCCATGATCTACACAAAATGTGGCGTCTGGATCCATCCCCAAATCCCATGTTAGTTTCTGGTTCCCCAATACTCTTTAGTTTATCGCATTTCAATACATTCAATACATTTAATATCCAAACAGACGCCCAACTATCCCCAAATTTCCGCTCGGCCCCTGGCTCAATGGCTTGGCTGCCGCAGGATCCAAAGGGTCAGCTGCAGGCGTGCCCTCCAAGGGGTACAAGGGAACAACCTGCCATGGTCACACCGGTTACACCTCCGATGCTAAGTTACGAAGTTCAGCAGAGATGGGTTGTAGCAGTTGTAGCCATTTCCATTGGGGATCTACTCATGGTCAGTGCGGTTCTTGAAACTCTTTGCTCCATAAACAGGCCAGCGGAACGGTCCCACCCCAGCGCCACTCTCGCCACTTCCCTGGCCCGCGGTTTCTCATGGCGCTCCTGAAGTCACGGACGTCATCAACGCAACTCATCAATTTTCGCCTTCTTTGAACAATGTCATATGGGATAAAGTCCATTCGTCCAATGTTCTTTTCACCTGGGGTCATCTACATCCTACCAACCTGCACAAGAGTTGGTGGTTTCACACTTCGACAAATCATCAAAGCCTATGGGATGACAGAAGTTTCTAACTTTGAGTCCCTACCAACTGGCTTACTTGTCACCTGAATTGGGGGATAACTATGGATAACTCAATCTGATTGAACATACCCTCCAGTAAACAAACATAGCTATGCAAATCTGTGGTTTTCCCGTTCCGAAATGATCTACAGATCGTGGATGTTCCATATCTTTTTGGTGGGATATAACTTGAGGTGCAATGAGTTCCCTTCAGTCTGGCTCCTGGGACACAGCAACTGGATTTGCCGTCTGAGCCAAAGGGGCAGCGGCTGAGTGGCCCACTGAATCCCCACACCGAAACCGAACCCCAATGTTTTGTCAGATGGGTATGGATCAAAATTGACCCACAAAATTGACCATTTCTAGGTGAGAATTCGAATGTTTAAACACCACATCAGAATTAAATAGAGAAATCCCAATTCTCATCCACCTCCTGCCTGCGGCACACCCTTGGGCCACAGCGGAGGGCCAACAAACAACAGCCTGCCCATCGGATGTCCCTTTGGATCACATTCTTCAATTTGGATCAAGAGAAATCCAACTAGATACTTGCGAGATCGTTCCACATCCCAGAATCACGGTGTATCTGGATGTATCAGAACAAGTTCAAGAATCTCTAGGTGCCCAATTCTGAAATGGCCTCCTGCGACCGCGGATCTGCTCCAAGTCTTGGTAGCCAACCAAAACGCCACCCTGGCGTTTTGCAGGAGGATTTGCAGGAGGATGCCAGAGGTCCAGGAAATCAAACCCTATAAGGCAGAGGCGGCATAGGGTAACCCCCAAAAGATAGAATACATTAGAAGACTGAAATCCCTGACTAAAATATTGGTAAATTACTGTTCTATCCCTGAGTGCACTTTCCGATCTTTTGGGGGTATGTCACATATGTCTCCAGCCTACAATCTAAGACTTGAGGAAACAATATTTTTTGTAATATTTTCAAGTCTGCCGTTCAAATTTAGGATATAGAATTTGGACCCATAACCTATGCACAAATCCGCTAGTGTATGTTAATGACTTACAATTGTTTGCTGCACGCCAGTTTCAAAGTTATTGGAAAGGCATTGCTTTCAACGACTCCACATGACTCAAACCCCCATACATTCATGGGTAATCAACCATACTGTATATGAGAATAAAGCAAGGTTTAACTCGCCTGATTCTTCACCAAGCGGCCCTGGCAAAATCCACAAGTATCAACCCAGGAGCTTCAAGAAGTGGCAATATTTTACATCCATCATCTCAGTTTGGGCCTGCTGCACGAAGCTGGGATTGTTGCACTTACGCGCAACGGCCTCAGTGGCATGGCAGACCTGGTTGACCCGTGGCTCAGAAGTTCCAGCCAGCATGAACGACTGGAAGCCACTGGGTTCAAGGGCCCTCCGCACATCCAACATGGAAGCCTCGGACAAGAAAGCAACCATCATCATCCTCATCTTCATCCTCATCATCATCATCATCATCCTCATCATCATCATCATCATCCTCATCATAGTCATCATCATCATCATCATCATCACCATCATCATCATCATCCTCATCATCATCTTCATCGTCGTCCTCATCCTCAGCATCATCATCAATATCGTAATCATCATCATCAACATCATCACCAGCATCACCATCATCCTCATCACCATCATCCTCACCCACATCCCCATCATCATCATCATCATCGTCATCATCCTCATCCTCATCACCATCATCATCATCCTCATCCTCCTCTTCCTCACCATCATCATCATCCTCATCCTCCTCTTCCTCACCATCATCATCATCATCATCGTCATCATTATCATCATCATCCCCATCAACATCATCCTCATCATCATCATCACCATCATCATCACCATCATCATCATCATCATCAATGCCATCCTCATCCTCAACCTCATCACCATCACCATCATCGTCGTCATCATCATCGTCATTCTCATCCCCATCCTCACATCTTCATCAAAATTATCATCATCCTCCTCCTCCCATCAACATCATCATCATCATCATCATCTTATTCTTCTTCTTCTTCTTCTTCTTCTTCGTCGTCTTCTTTTTCTTTTTCTTCTTCTTCTTCTTCTTCTTGTTTCTTCTTCTTCTTGTTCTTCTTGTTCTTCTTCTTCTTCTTCTTCTTTTTATTTTTCTTCATCTTCATCCTCATCACCATGATCAGCGCCATTATAATCATCATCATCATCATCGTCATTTATCAACCGCATCCTTTTCCTCGTCCTCATCCTCATCCTCATCATCCTCATCATCATCATCATCACCATCATCATCCCCATCCTCATTCCCAGAATCATCTTCATCGTCACCAACAACAGCATCAGCATCATCATCATCATCATCATCACCATCATCATCATCATCATTATCGTCGTCGTCGTCGTCGTCGTCATCATCATCATCTTCATCATCATCATCATCTACTACGCCGACGCCGCGGCCGAAACCGACACCAACAGCGACACCCACGCCGACGATCCAAAAAAATATCGAATTCTTATCATCTGCATCCCATCTCAACTGGTCTCAACTGGTCTCAACTTGTTGCCCAAGGCTCATTGCTCGGCACAATGACATGCACCTCCGAGTTGCAGTAGTCACATGGAAACATCACTCAACCGTAGCATTGAAAATGTTCTCCAATAAATCAATAAACCAGCCGACTGACTTCCCAAGGGAAGATCATCTGCGAATCAACGTCTGGCCCAGGCGACATGGTGCCCCCAATTGACCCCACTTGATCCGAACTGGCGAACCTCTTCCTTGTTCTCATTGCCCGCTCGTCTCACGCGGATCTGCACCTCCAGTTATATGACTGGGAAGGGCCGATATAAGGCCCATATACAATACATTGGAACATTACTTCCATTCCAGCGGCCTCTTTTGGTGCATCGGCTGGACCAAACTCCTTTGCGCGGTGGTTGAAACGTCCAAGGACGTGGTTGATGGAATGCAAGATGCGCGTCCCAGAGTGCAAGGCCCTCCAGCGTACATTGATGGGACCCTTCCAATTGACACCAAATATGACTTGCCCAGAACTGGAAAGAACTGGGACGAAGTGGAGCGGGGGTATGACCTACCTAATGTTGCGAGCAATACAAGTCTGAACCCTAACATTCGGAAGTTCAGCCTCTGCGAAGAAAGATAAACACCTGAGCATGTCACGTTGCTTCCAGCAACTGCAGGTTCGCCTGCCAGGCACACAAAAGAAGGTCTGCTGATTGCTGCGAATAAGCACACGACAAGACCCAAAAAAAACAGCTTGAAGCGGGTTTCCAAACCTAGTTGCCCACTTACCAAACGCCCTGACCAACCTTTGACAGACCTTTGAAGCCACCTCAAAAAAAACGCCGGCCGCCGCGGCCTTTGTATAGAAGATCGTTGAGCATGTTTCCCATCTGCTGAAACTCCTGGAACATGTTGGAATACTTCGACACGATGGGTGGGTCATGCGGGTCCAATAAGCACGTCTAACTTGGGGTCATTCATGATGTTAAAGGTGTATCTCAGAAATGATGCCATCAGTCAAATGAATAATAGTGGGATTTTTGGTAGTCCGGGTACATCTAACTTCGAACCACATTTGCTGGGCATCACTAGTCATCATTGCGATGTCACCCTTCAAGTGCCCAGCAACCCGTGTTCCCGACCTCATTGGAGTGCAAGTCCGGCTGATCGAACTGCGCAGTTTGATGTCGTAAACCGTGATAAACCGATAGACAGTTAAACCCACTAATTCCATCCCCCAAAACCAAAATGTATAGAATACACCCCCCGAAATCGTGACTTAGAATTGGACTTCTGCATTTTGGGGTCTTGTATTGGGGGGCATTTGGGGGCAATGCTGGGGGAGTCTCACTCCTCAAACAACTTGGGGTTCTATTTGGGTCCACGAGTCTGCTGTCGCAGGGCCCATCTTCGCCTGATTGAGCATCTCGAAGACTCCACGCTGGCTCCCCTCAAGACCGTACCTGATCTGTGCCACGAAGCACCATCTGAGGAATGTAATTGATGATGATCGAAGGAAGTTTAGAAGTCAAACTTCCGACAATATGGACAGATGGAAAAGCAGAGGTGGTAAGAGTCAGAGAAGAGAAGAGAAGAGAAGAGAAGAGAAGCGAAGAAGAGAGAAGATCAGAGAAGAGAGAGAGCGCGAAGAAAGAAGATGCAGGTGCGCGAAAAGGTGGGAAAGTGCGCTTCCAATGATTTGTGGCTCCAGAGGGTCGAAAAGTAGGCTCGCAAAAGCGGCGGGTGCGGAGCCATGTGGTCAGATGAGAGATGAAAAATTGCACGCCGTTGTGGCGCGAAGCACATTTCCAAGTCAAAATGTACAAAGCACACCAAGTTGCGCTGTCGAAAAAGTGCACGCCGTTGTGGCGCGAAGCACATTTCCAAGTCAAAATGCATGAAACACCTCAGTGTCGGACCACTTTTGGAAGTTGCGATGTCGAAAAAGTTCACGCCGTTGTGGTGCGAAGCACATTTCCAAGTCAAAAGTGCAAAAAACTGAGCGGTATGGAGCACTTTTGGACGTTCACATGTCGTTTTGCGTGGGAGGCGGAGGGATATTGCGCACCTTGCAAGACGTGAGGTTTTGCAGCAGTTTCAAAAACGATGGCAGGCGTGGGACATTTGAAGGCGATCTGGAAAGATGCATTTCGCATGGCAGGCGCTGTACAAGAGACACACGAGTTAGACGTGATAGGAGATTTCCTGAGAGGGGGTTGCATTTTGGAGCATGAGATCTTCAGGTTTGCTAAGATGATTTTGCGTGACAGGTGCAGCACTTCGTATGACCTGGCTTCACTTTTGTGGCAAGCGCAATACTTTAGAGACATGGACTTGAAAAATTGCAAGGCGCATTGGTATCAGGCCGTCAGCTCTGCACTCAACTTTCCTTTGTTGAAGGAAGTCTCGCAGAATTGCTTCGTTTTTGATGTTGTCAACTTGAAAAATTGATGAAGTCTCGCAGAATAGCTTCGTTTTTGACGTTGTCAAGTTCAAGAGTTGCGGAAGTCTCACAGAATTGCTGTGTTTTTGATGCTGTCAAGTTCAAAAATTAAGGAAGTCTCGCAGAAAAGCTTCGTTTTCAAACGTGCAGATAGATAGATAGATAGATAGATAGATAGAAAGAAAGACAGATAGAAAAATAGATAGATAGAAAGAAAGAAAGATAGATAGATAGAAAGATAGATAGATAGATGGATAGATAGATAGAAGATAGATAGATAGATAGATAGACAGATAGAGAAAGATAGATAGAAAGATAGATAGATAGATAGATAAATAGATAGATAAATGATAGATAGATAGATAGATACATAGATAGATAGATAGATAGACAGATAGAAAGAAAGATAGAAAGAAAGATAGATAGATAGAGATAGAGATAGAGATAGAGATAGAGATAGAGATAAAGATAGAGATATAGATGTAGATGTAGATGTAGATATAGATATACATATAGATAGATAGATAGATAGATAGATAGATACATAGATAGATAGATAGATAGATAGATAGACAGATAGACAGATAGATAAACAGAAAGACAAAGAGATAAGCAGATATGTAGATAGACAGATAGATAGACAACCGCAACTGCACACACCATACTTCAACTACAACGTCAATTACAACTACAACTACACTACCACTACAACTACAACTTCAACTACACTTCAACTTCAACTACACTTCAACTACAACTACAACCTCAACTACAATTACTAAAACTACAGTTACAAGTGCCACTACAACTACAACTGCAACTACAACTGTAACAACTACTACAACTACAATACAACTGCAGCTGCAACTGCCACTACAACTACAAATTCAGCTACACTACAACTACACTTCAACTACAACTTTTACTTCAACTACACTACTACAACAACAATTACCGCGACACTACACTACAACTGCAACTACAACTACAACTACGAGTACAACTACACTACAACTACGAATACACTACAACTACAACTACACTACAGCTACAACTACAACTACAACTCCTACAACTATTGCAACTAGTACAATTCCTACAATTAAGACAATTCCAACTTCAACTGCACTTCAACTACACTACAACTACAAATACAACTACAACTGCAACTACAACCACAACTACAACTACAACTTCAACAACATCAACCCCACTACAACTACAACGACAACTACAACTACTGCACTACACCACACTACATCCAGGAGTTGTGAGTGAGGTGACCACTGCAACCATTGCAATCACTCCAAAAAGCACAACTCCAACCACCTTTCGGTCCATCAGTGGATTCGATCTGCCATCAATGCATCACAACAACTCACCTCTCCTATAGTGTCCTATCATCCTTGAAACTTCCGCCACCGCCTTGTGCGGTACTACTGGTATATGATGATTAATGTATATATATTAATGTCCTTGTAGTTTTGGTCCAATGGTTGTTGCTGTTGCCATTTTCTGCCTCCACTTAATGCCGATGGTTCTGAGTGATCCGGCTTTGGCAGCACCACACTTTGCACGGTCAGGAAGAGCTTTTGCCGCTCCACCCGGAATTTCCTGGCGACTGACTGGGGACCAGTAAACACCAAAAAAAAACTGACCACCTGGAGGGCCAGTACACCTGAAAAAATAGATTCAATCGGGGACCTTGCTCCCAAATGGTCAAATCAAAATACTTGAAACTTGAAAATACCAAGCCAGAAAATGAATGCGACTAGCTGTCTTGCCATGCTTGACAATGGTTTTTCACCACCTTCTCCAACAAGTAGTGATACGCAGTAGTGTACAGGTATCTACCAACTCAGATTCAGGGACAGTACAGTCATTGATTCAATAGATTCAAACAACATCAAACAACCACCCTCAGTCACCGCCTCGCCTCACTTCCATGGTTGGTTTCTGCTCCCACAACTTCTCCAATCGCGCACGGAAAGTGGGAGCTGAGAAGCCATCGTAGAGGTCCTGTGTTCGCCCAGACTTGGCAACCGGTAAGCTTCACAAAACTTTCACGACAGAACATCTTCTTGAGTCTCCTTTAGAAGGCATAGCAAAGGAAATCCCCATTTATAGATCATTGTCTTGATAAAGTTAAAACTCAAGGAGAGGGAATTGTCCCTTGCCATGTTAATCAACAGATGCTAAGATGATTGTGTCCTTTTGTAAAGCAATGGCTTGTGCCGGCGTGATCTTTACCGCTTTGGGAGTCAAACGGGACGACTTTCGCTGGCCCTTCAAACCTCAAGACATGTGGATGCTCAGGAGATACAGTCGCTCACAATGCTCACGACATGTTCTCTAAAGCCAGATATGTTTGGGTAATGTCTTCAAATACCCTACTTAACCATCACACAAATCAGAGATCTTGTCTCCAACAACCGTCCAAAAGATATACATATATGCAGACATTCGTTATATACTGGCCCCCTGGAATCTGAAGGCAAAACTCTTCACCCAAAGTGATTGCCTTGGCTGATGAAATGTCTTCAAGTTTCACCAGCACGACTGGTCCTACCAAGCAACGTTCCTCGCTTTGGATGTTCTGAAGTCCAATGACCAAGAGGTTCCTGCAACGCAAAGATAGCGTGGATAAACAAGAGGCCCCATGAAGCTTAGACATGGAAGAGTGTCCAAAATGTTTCAAAAGATTTAGTGTAAACATATATATGTGTAACTTATGTATATATCTATGTACGTACGAACAATAAATCAGTCAAAGCCTGCACGTTTTGGTGCTCTGCTCACAGGATTATTTCTGCACAGCTCAAGTAAGTGAAGACCAACAAGCAAGGCGACGTCCTGCGCTTTCCCAACCTCAGCGACACATCAAGTGGGGTGGTCTGAAATTGATTTGGAGACCCCAATGGCACAATAGCTATCTTAACATAGAAAAATCTCAATGACTCATTTTGCCCATGGGTTGATTGTGGATTACCACTACTATGGCTGGTAAAATGAGTGACTTTCGAGATAAATGGAGCAAATGATGATGAACCCTCAAAATTGGGAATACCCTATTTTTCAGACAAAGCTAGAAATCCGAGAAAGAATACAATCACTTTACTGGTGCTTGGATTTCACAGAATTCTAGACATGATTGCTATCATGAAGCCCTGAATATCCTGAATCGAATCAGCCGCGGAGCCTTTCTGAATCTGTCAATGAGGAGAATGCTCCACTCTCCCCAACTCTTCGCACGAAATGACAGGTTTGAAGAACTTGTGGATCCTCCAGCCTCAGTTTTGTTGAGAATGGGGTCTTGGGTCACCAAAATCTGCTGAGGACATCTGAGGACCCAGTATCTTTATGTACAACGAGGATGAATTGGCTAAATCTAGAGGTACCCTCTGGTTATTTAACGTAGCCATGGAAAATGGCCCATTTATAGATGGTTTACCTATTAAAAATGGTGATGTTCCATGGCTATGTTAAATAACCAGATGGTAAATATCATGTAAAATATGGTAAAGTGACCCATTTCCAGCCCAAAAGTGGTGGTCGTTGAACTTCCGCCAAGGTACTGCTCTGCCAAAGCCTGCCACTAAAACCATTTGGAAAAGCTGCCAGGGAACAACTGAAGAGCTAAGATGTCTACATGGCATATCTTTCCGTGGCATCAACCACTAACCACTGCCTGCTTGATCTCTTTGATGGTCCAGCTGCTCTTCACCTTCAGCTGAACTTCCTTCAAATGATCCTCCGGGGTTCCAGGTCCCGATGGTCCCAGGGTTGTCCCATTTCTTTTTGGTCAAAATCATTCAGCGTACAAATATGTTGAATTGTATACATGCAATATGTGTAGATACAACAATATCATAGTTTGATTTAAATATACAGTTTGATTTGTATACACACATACTGTTAATCATTCATATGATATTGCTTCCTTCATGTTTGTATACTCATACTATGTAGGATAATGTTGGTCATATGATGGTTGTGTAAATGGAAATCGCCTCTGGGACAATCCCATCCTCCTCAATGGCATTCCGGATGGTCAGAAGGACCTCCTTGGCAGGAGACTACCGGAGACTTCAATGGGTGTCCAGAAATGGATACCGGGTACCCAAACAATGGACGCTTTGAAAATGCTGGGATTTGAAGGCCATCAATTTCAGCTGGACGAGTTTCAGCTGTCTCCGCTTCCTTGCGACTCTTCTTTTGCTCCTGCACAGCCACGGACGATCCAAACTGCGCATGAATCAATGGAGAGTCCAGACTTCACTGCAAAAATGCCGCATCACTACAATCAGAATTTCCCTGACAAGAATCTCCATTAAGTATGTAGTATAAGGTTCCATTTGGGACTATGGTTTTGAAAAAAATGGATGCCAAAACACTGGTTGAAGTTGATGCCTACAAAAAAAACACAATGTGTGGACCCCTGGGTCTTGTATAAATTTTGAGCCACCAAATATGGCTATTGGTCAAAAGCCTGGCACCTTTTGTTCACCCCAAGTCATAGCTGGGTTATTCATCATGTTCATCCCATTAGAATTGATAATAATAGGTATTGACCCATACCCATATAACACCTATAGAAAATCACCATTTTTAATGGGTAAATCCACTATAAATGACCATTTTCAATAGCTATTTTGACATAACCAGAGGGTAACACCAGCCGGATCCAACTGCTGTGTGTTTTCAACGGCATGCAGCTGGCTGCCCCAGATGCGCAACCTGCAGAGTTTCTTCCGGAAGTTCGTCGGCAAAGAGCAGCTGGTTCAGCGCATCTCCCTGGCGAAAGAAACCCAAGCATATGAGATTTGATTTGTGTATCTTGTGTTCATTCGACTTGATGACTGTGAAGTCTGCGCAGGTCCAGTGCAACAGGGCAGAGTCGGTCCTTGGGTTTATCCCTCATATCCAGGTGTGTACCACGTGTATCCAAAACATTCCCAGACCTTCCAAACATTCCAAGACGTTCCAAACATGCCGGCACCTGTTGCATGATGGTGCTGTTCGACATGAACTCTGATCGATCGAATTGCTGCAGCATGTCAAAGACACCCTGCGATGCAAAATGCGGCCAGCAAAGAGTCATGACCAAACACTGCAAAAGATTGAAAGTGGATGAAAATGGTGGTTTCAACTTTCAACCCATCCCACAAGAAGTCAGTTGGACTCACTTGAAGGGATTATGCACCAGGTACGGTAAAATAGAAAAAGGACGAACGATATCTGAAACCACCAACCATCACCAACCAACATAAAGTCCGGCGATGTCCGGCGGCTAGCAGTGCCTTAGGACCTCCTTCAAAACCATACTTTGGCAGAACGAACTTCCTCAGGCAGTGGTGTTCTGTGGCAAATGCGCTACAGACACAGTTGATACGGTGTAAAACAATCTAAAACATTGAAAGCCTAAAAATGCCTAAAATGCCGAAAATGTGTATGAGTCGAAATGTATCACATGAGGCTCCAGCTTTGGTCAATTTGAAGCATGAAACCCTCCAATTATTGCGGTACCCAAGTTTGACCATAATATCAAAAATGCCTAAAGTCAACCAAAGTGAAATCAACCTGGACCCACTTGACGCATCTTGATGCAAGTCGCTGGACAGAGAGGAAGAGCTTCTGCCGCTCGGCGCTAAAGCGCTTCGGATCGCTGTGCCTTGGCCAGCAAATGCCACACAGGATACACAGGAATCTACAGTCTTCATGGTGTCAAACGCTCGCAAATGTGGAAGTGTTCCCTTCTCTGATTTTTTTGAGATTGATTGGTCGTTTGAGAAAGGCTTGCAGATTTGCGTGAACTGCAGATCAAGGCACTTGTACAGTCTGATGAGCTCCTGCAATCAAACGCAGGAGCAACTTGCAGGTCTACTTCAATCAAACATCCATCAAAAGAATTGGCTGGCTTTACCCATCTTGATTCTGACTTCACTTTGACATGAAGCGAGCCTTCCGCTTCGACTGAAAGTCTGCATCAGAAAAGCCCTGCAGCAAGTCACGCCTCAGAATCAAAAGAGGAACAGAGTTGTAAAACATTGTAAAACTACATCAAACTTTCAATTGAAAGAAATGGAAAGAGCAAAAAAAGGCCACCCGACTGCAGCGCCAGCGCTAATGGAACCGTCAATTTCGGCGCTTCGCGGCTTGCAGGGGCCACCTGCGCCACTGGAGGTCTCTGCAGTGCCTAGCAGCTGCGGATAGCCGCACAGATCAATTCAAAAACATTTCGCTGCAGGATGGTTTCCTCAATGCTGCAAGTTGGCGAGGACTATGTCCCTGACAGCCTCTGGTTGTGGGCTTTGGTCACTTGGCGCTTTCAAGTCGAGCGCTTCGTCGCCTGCGGTCCTGAAGCAACGGCACAGACTCACACACCACCAATCACCCCCTTTGTTTTGAGTGACTAGAGAACGGGGCGAAGATATGTCCACAACGCATGTCCGGCCTTAAGCTTGGGATCCCGAGAACAAGGAGAGCACGGCGATTGTTCAGCTTCTCCGAATCCTGTGCAACCAAGAAAAGGAGTTTAAAGTTTAAAGAAATCTGAAAAAGAAACTTAGACACACTTTTACATGTGAAATGTCTGACCTAGCAAATCCGGTGCATCTTGGTGCTAGCTGCTCTCAGGCCCACCTTAAAGCCCGAGAATGCACCGTTCTCGCCAACACGCTGCACAAGGCGGCACGTCTGCAAAAGCTCTGGCTTTCCAAGATGCTTGATCAAGGCCTGCAGCAGCAATCAAGACAGGATGCTCAAATCACCCAAATCCGAGGCAGAAGATTCGGAGGAAACTCTGGCAAGCATGATTCCTCACCTCTTTCACTGCTTTCATGGTCGCGTTGCTCTTGACAATCACTCGCACCTCCTCAGAATCACGTCACCAATCAGAACTCTGGCAAAGCATGAAGTAAGCGCAGTACTTACTACAACACAGCAAACTTGCCTCGTCAGCTGGGTGGTCTTCTTCGACAGCATGACGGACAATGACCTATCGAGAAGATCCTCAAACCAGGAATCATAGGAAATCATAGGAATCTACTTCGTATTACTTCGTAATTCAGGAGAGTTCAGGAAATCCATCGTTGAGTGATTCTAGATTCGTTGAGTGATTCATCTAGATTCTGCCCATTCCGCCTCAACATCTCGGATCGCTTCATTCTTTGCCTTGGCAGCCTCTTTACGCGGCTTAACAACCTGGCAAGTTCTTTACTTGGAATGCAGAAAAAACCAGAGATGGCGCAACAAAAGAACTGATGAAAGTAGTGAGGATGATGTGCCTTTAAATTTTTTAATAAAATTTTTAAATCTTTTAAGTTTTGTCAAAGTGCCCACTTAGCCCGTACCACACGCTTCACAACCTGGGAAGCTTCAGTGTCTGGAAGCTCGTCGGCAAACAGCAGCTGGTTCAGGGCGTCTCCCTGGTGCAAAGCGACAAATGACTCTGCCCGCTGAGCGCCGAGGTTGGTATGATCACTTGAAGACATCATCAGACGAATTGATCGATGCTGCCTATTTCATTGCCCACAGAGTCTTGGCGTCCACCATATTTGCACTTCCCCCACGCGCCTGTTGCCAAAAAGTAACGTCCGCCCCAAACTCTGGTCGATCAAACTGCTGCAGCATTTCGAAGACACCCTGCAACGCGAATCCCAAATCAGCCAAGAAAATGTTGCGAAGTCATTGGGAGACGCTGCAACATTGCAAAGACACAAATCTGGCTGCCGGCAGTGCCTTCGCGCTTCCTTCAAAACCATACTTTGGCAAAACAATTCTCCTCAGCTCGCATGTGTTCATCCGCTCCAAAACAAGAAAGCCAAACAAATGGATAAAAATGGTAGATGAAGCAGAATCAACCAAAACCACTGGCTCGATTAATTCAAGTGACTGAACAGAGAGGAAGAGCTTCTGCCGCTCGGCACCAAACCGCTTCGGATCACTGTGCCTTTAAAGGAAGAGCAATACAGCTTCAAGAAGGATTGACAAAGTCTGCAAGAAACAATGAAACACAAATTACCTAATTTATGCATGACAGAAGCAAGTATTGCAAATCAAGGCGCTTGTACAGTCGGATGAGCTCCTGGCGATCCAAAGCAGCTATATACAACTTCATGATTCGTTTTTAAGATTTTTAAGCACGAATTCATCAAAGCATTGGATGACTTCACAAATCTCCACTCTGAAGTCATTCCAAGTCAACCGAGCCTTCCGCTTTGACTGAAAGTCCGCATCAGAAAAGCCCTGCAGCAAGTCACGCCTTGGGAACCAGAGGCACAGCTGGGCACAATTTGGCACAGAAACGCGAAGCTTTGTGAACCTTACTCAAAGTTACAGTTATTGCCCAACATCCAGGAAGGAAAACCGAGAAACACTATGAAACACCGGGCCACCAGACTGAAGCGCCAACGCTTGTGGAACCGTCAACTTCGGCGGTTCCCGTTGAGGCGCCACTCGAGCCACTGGAGGTCTCTGCGGAGGTACCTCTCCCACAGTCCACAGCTGTGGTTGAAAAGAAAAAAAACAAAACTTCCCAAAGCATTAAACAGCTCTTACAGTCTTGAAGATTCTTAAAGCATCTTGAACCCGTTGTCCAAGATATCCAAACCCCACCTGGACTGCATCTGGTGGACTTTGATCGCTTTGCCGTGGGCTCGGTGGGCTTGGTGGGCTTGGATCACTTGGCGCTTTCAAGTCGAGCGCTTCGTCGCCTGCGGTCCTGAAGCAACGGCACAGACTCACACACCACCAATCACCACCTGTGTTTTGAGTGACTAGAGAACGGGGCGAAGATATGTCCACAACGCATGTCCGGCCTTAAGCTTGGGATCCCGAGAACAAGGAGAGCACGACGATTGTTCAGCTTCTCCGAATCCTGTGCAACCAAGAAAAGTACATGTGAAATGCCTGACCTAGTAAATCCGGTGCATCTTGGTGCTAGCTGCTCTCAGGCCCACCTTAAAGCCCGAGAATGCACCGTTCTCGCCAACACGCTGCACAAGGCGGCACGTCTGCAAAAGCTCTGGCTTTCCAAGATGTTTGATCAAGGCCTGCGGCAGCAATCAAGACAGGATGCTCAAATCACCCAAATCCGAGGCAGAAGATTCGCAGGAAACTCTGGCAAGCATGATTCCTCACCTCTTTCACTGCTTTCATGGTCGCGTTGCTCTTGACAGTCACTCGCACCTCCTCAGAATTGCAAAGCTGTGAGTCAAACTCTCGACAAAAATAGGACAAAGTGATGAAGCAAGTGATGAAGCGATGAAGTCAATTTTGCTACAAGAGGGCCTCATCGGGCGGGTGGTCTCCTTCCACAGCATGACGGACAATGACCTTCCAAAAGGTCAGAAATGGCTGTAGGACTCAATCGAGTGAATTCCAGTGAAGTCTGACATCTACCACCGAGTTCTTTCAGAATTACTCCCAGCCTCAATATCTCGAACCACTTCATTCTTTGCTACAGGCATCTTGGACTCTTTTCGAGGCTTGACAGCCTGACAAGTCTTGTGTACTTGCCAACATGTCAAAAGAAACCGGTCAAGGTGCTACAATGGCTTGGACTGCTGTACCCAGTCCCAGAGCAACAACGAAGCCAAACCTGAGAAGCTTCAGATTCTGGAAGTTCGTCAGCAAACAGCAGCTGATTCAAAACGTCGCCCTGGTGCTTGACGGAGGTTCGAATTGTTTCGGAGTACAAAAGGCGGCAAAAGTTTATAGGAGTTTCGATGTTAATTGTTCATGAGAGTTTGTTTAATAAATCAAGCTGTTTCCCTCATAGTATCAGAGTGTATCAGCACATGTGCAAAACCATGCAAAACCATGCAAAACAACGCCCCGCTCCTGTTGCAAGAACGTGATGTCAGCCGCAAACTCTGGTCGATCGAACTGCTGCATCATTTCAAAGACTCCCTGCACGAATCCCAAATCGGCCAAGAAAATGTCCCGAAGTCATGGGGAACACACCGCGCGACGACAAATCCGGCTTCCAGCAGTGCCTTGGGGCCCCCTTCAAAGCCATACTTTGGCAAAACAATTCTCCTCAGCTCGCATGTGTTCATGCACAGACGCCAAACCAATGGTAGATGAAGCAGAATCAACCAAAACCACTGGCTCGATTAATTCAAGTGACTGAACAGAGAGGAAGAGCTTCTGCCGCTCGGCACCAAACCGCTTCGGATCACTGTGCCTTTAAAGGAAGAGCAATACAGCTTCAAGAAGGATTGACAAAGTCTGCAAGAAAATTTGAAACACAAATTACCTAATTTATGCATGACAGAAGCAAGTATTGCAAATCAAGGCGCTTGTACAGTCGGATGAGCTCCTGGCGATCCAAAGCAGCTATATACAACTTCATGATTCGTTTTTAAGATTTTTAAGCACGAATTCATCAAAGCATTGGATGACTTCACAAATCTCCACTCTGAAGTCATTCCAAGTCAACCGAGCCTTCCGCTTTGACTGAAAGTCCGCATCAGAAAAGCCCTGCAGCAAGTCACGCCTTGGGAACCAGAGGCACAGCTGGGCACAATTTGGCACAGAAACGCGAAGCTTTGTGAACCTTACTCAAAGTTACAGTTATTGCCCAACATCCAGGAAGGAAAACCGAGAAACACTATGAAACACCGGGCCACCAGACTGAAGCGCCAACGCTTGTGGAACCGTCAACTTCGGCGGTTCCCGTTGAGGCGCCACTCGAGCCACTGGAGGTCTCTGCGGAGGTACCTCTCCCACAGTCCACAGCTGTGGTTGAAAAGAAAAAAAACAAAACTTCCCAAAGCATTAAACAGCTCTTACAGTCTTGAAGATTCTTAAAGCATCTTGAACCCGTTGTCCAAGATATCCAAACCCCACCTGGACTGCATCTGGTGGACTTTGATCGCTTTGCCGTGGGCTCGGTGGGCTTGGTGGGCTTGGATCACTTGGCGCTTTCAAGTCGAGCGCTTCGTCGCCTGCGGTCCTGAAGCAACGGCACAGACTCACACACCACCAATCACCACCTGTGTTTTGAGTGACTAGAGAACGGGGCGAAGATATGTCCACAACGCATGTCCGGCCTTAAGCTTGGGATCCCGAGAACAAGGAGAGCACGACGATTGTTCAGCTTCTCCGAATCCTGTGCAACCAAGAAAAGTACATGTGAAATGCCTGACCTAGTAAATCCGGTGCATCTTGGTGCTAGCTGCTCTCAGGCCCACCTTAAAGCCCGAGAATGCACCGTTCTCGCCAACACGCTGCACAAGGCGGCACGTCTGCAAAAGCTCTGGCTTTCCAAGATGTTTGATCAAGGCCTGCGGCAGCAATCAAGACAGGATGCTCAAATCACCCAAATCCGAGGCAGAAGATTCGGAGGAAACTCTGGCAAGCATGATTCCTCACCTCTTTCACTGCTTTCATGGTCGCGTTGCTCTTGACAGTCACTCGCACCTCCTCAGAATTGCAAAGCTGTGAGTCAAACTCTCGACAAAAATAGGACAAAGTGATGAAGCAAGTGATGAAGCGATGAAGTCAATTTTGCTACAAGAGGGCCTCATCGGGCGGGTGGTCTTCTTCCACAGCATGACGGACAATGACCTTCCAAAAGGTCAGAAATGGCTGTAGGACTCAATCGAGTGAATTCCAGTGAAGTCTGACATCTACCACCGAGTTCTTTCAGAATTACTCCCAGCCTCAATATCTCGAACCACTTCATTCTTTGCTACAGGCATCTTGGACTCTTTTCGAGGCTTGACAGCCTGACAAGTCTTGTGTACTTGCCAACATGTCAAAAGAAACCGGTCAAGGTGCTACAATGGCTTGGACTGCTGTACCCAGTCCCAGAGCAACAACGAAGCCGAACCTGAGAAGCTTCAGATTCTGGAAGTTCGTCAGCAAACAGCAGCTGATTCAAAACGTCGCCCTGGTGCTTGACGGAGGTTCGAATTGTTTCGGAGTACAAAAGGCGGCAAAAGTTTATAGGAGTTTCGATGTTAATTGTTCATGAGAGTTTGTTTAATAAATCAAGCTGTTTCCCTCATAGTATCAGAGTGTATCAGCACATGTGCAAAACCATGCAAAACCATGCAAAACAACACCCTGCTCCTGTTGCAAGAACGTGATGTCAGCCGCAAACTCTGGTCGATCGAACTGCTGCATCATTTCAAAGACTCCCTGCACGAATCCCAAATCGGCCAAGAAAATGTCCCGAAGTCATGGGGAACACACCGCGCGACGACAAATCCGGCTTCCAGCAGTGCCTTGGGGCCCCCTTCAAAGCCATACTTTGGCAAAACAAATTTCCTCAGCTCGCATGTGTTCATGCACAGACGCCAAACCAATGGTAGATGAAGCAGAATCAACCAAACCCACTGGCTCGATTAATTCAAGTGACTGAACAGAGAGGAAGAGCTTCTGCCGCTCGGCACCAAACCGCTTCGGATCACTGTGCCTTTAAAGGAAGAGCAATACAGCTTCAAGAAGGATTGACAAAGCCTGCAAGAAACAATGAAACACAAATTACCTAATTTATGCATGACAGAAGCAAGTATTGCAAATCAAGGCGCTTGTACAGTCGGATGAGCTCCTGGCGATCCAAAGCAGCTATATACAACTTCATGATTCGTTTTTAAGATCTTTTAAGCACGAATTCATCAAAGCATTGGATGACTTCACAAATCTCCACTCTGAAGTCATTCCAAGTCAACCGAGCCTTCCGCTTTGACTGAAAGTCCGCATCAGAAAAGCCCTGCAGCAAGTCACGCCTTGGGAACCAGAGGCACAGCTGGGCACAATTTGGCACAGAAACGCGAAGCTTTGTGAACCTTACTCAAAGTTACAGTTATTGCCCAACATCCAGGAAGGAAAACCGAGAAACACTATGAAACACCGGGCCACCAGACTGAAGCGCCAACGCTTGTGGAACCGTCAACTTCGGCGGTTCCCGTTGAGGCGCCACTCGAGCCACTGGAGGTCTCTGCGGAGGGACCTCTCCCACAGTCCACAGCTGTGGTTGAAAAGAAAAAAAACAAAACTTCCCAAAGCATTAAACAGCTCTTACAGTCTTGAAGATTCTTAAAGCATCTTGAACCCGTTGTCCAAGATATCCAAACCCCACCTGGACTGCATCTGGTGGACTTTGATCGCTTTGCCGTGGGCTCGGTGGGCTTGGTGGGCTTGGATCACTTGGCGCTTTCAAGTCGAGTGCTTCGTCGCCTGCGGTCCTGAAGCAACGGCACAGACTCACACACCACCAATCACCACCTGTGTTTTGAGTGACTAGAGAACGGGGCGAAGATATGTCCACAACGCATGTCCGGCCTTAAGCTTGGGATCCCGAGAACAAGGAGAGCACGACGATTGTTCAGCTTCTCCGAATCCTGTGCAACCAAGAAAAGGAGTTTAAAGTTTAAAGAAATCAGAAAAAGAAACTTAGACACACTTTTACATGTGAAATGCCTGACCTAGTAAATCCGGTGCATCTTGGTGCTAGCTGCTCTCAGGCCCACCTTAAAGCCCGAGAATGCACCGTTCTCGCCAACACGCTGCACAAGGCGGCACGTCTGCAAAAGCTCTGGCTTTCCAAGATGCTTGATCAAGGCCTGCGGCAGCAATCAAGACAGGATGCTCAAATCACCCAAATCCAAGGCAGAAGATTCGGAGGAAACTCTGGCAAGCATGATTCCTCACCTCTTTCACTGCTTTCATGGTCGCGTTGCTCTTGACAGTCACTCGCACCTCCTCAGAATCACGTCACCAATCAGAACTCCGGCAAAGGACAAAGTGTACTTTGGTGGTTAATTGTTGGTTCCCTCTTTTATAGGTACACAAATTGCCAAAAATCCCTGCCAATCAGTTCAATTTTGAACCATACCGGGTCACGATAGCAAACTGAGGAAATCCGAGCCTCATCATATGGATGATTCTCTTGCACTGCATGACGGACAATGACCTCTTCGTCAAGTTTCATGTTGACGCTTGTTGACGCTTGTTGACGTCGTGTCTGAAGGTTCCGAGACATGGAGGTTTCAAATCTCCAAATAGATCCAGTGATATGTCAGTATGATCAAGGAGGATTTCACTAGGCCCAGCCTCAATGTCTCGCACCACTTCTGGCAGCCTCTTTGAGGTCTCCCGCACTGATCGACCAACTTGGCTGGCCGGCTCGACCGACGCCTGCGAAGAGTAATCAAAGCAAGAATCACTATTGTTGTGATTTCCATATAAAAATGATCAGAAAAACAACAATAACAATAGTAAAACAATGATAACACCAATGAGAATGAGGATGTTAATTTAAACAAAAAAACAATGATATTAAATGATATTAACACTAACAGTAGTCAAACAATAACAATATAATCACTAATATAATCACAATAGTAATATTAACAGTGTATACTATATTGTATACAATAGTCATTTCATGGCGATTTGTCCCAGTGCTTCATGGATCACATGGCACCTCGGAAGAGCCCACAAGGTCGTCCGTGAACAGGAGCTGGTTCAACACCGCTCCCTGGGAATCGCTGGGGAAGTCTTCGAAATGTTCCATCGAATGAATCTAACCTGGCTGAAAAGAATGCTACATTGACCTATTTTTGCTGATTCTTAATCCATATACATCCATAATCATCCATATACCATTTATTGGTAGATGAAATGATTTATACATGGATATACTGTATATATGTGGATGATGGTGGATGTATTATTGCTTGATGACTATGTAAAACCCATGTTTTCCATCAAACATGAGGGCTTTCCCAGTGCCAGAGTAGAGCCAGAGGCCAACACCATTCAATGGGTTGACCGAAGGGGGGAACTTTGGAAGGACACCATGGTTTTGCTCCCAAATGTGGGGGGTTCCTTTTAAAAACATGTCCTTCAACCACTTCTGGAGTCTTCTGGGAACCCACAGCATTCACAGAGATGACCCTCGCATAATTTTGCCACTCACAGGCTAAATCCCAACATTATCAAGATGTAAGATAGAAGCACCAACAAATGGGGGATAAGGGCATGGGATAGAACCAGTGACGTATAGTGTGACTGTAGCAATTTGGATATCATTATACACCTAAGGGGTGTAGCTTGTATATCAAGCAATATTCGGATGCCCTTAGATGAGCGCCTGTTGCTGAAAGGCCGCGTTCATCACAAATTCGGGGCGATCGAACTGTTCCATCATGTCAAAGACACCCTGCCGGGCACTGCCAGGCACTGCCGGGTCGAAAACATGACAGAGCATTGACTCGGCAAAATGTCTGGCTGGCCTTAGGGCCAGCCTCAAAACCATAGTTTGGCAAAACGATCTTCCTCAGTCCAGATTTCGGAAAAATGGAGAACAGGATATCGCAATCAGTCTTTATTTGAAGCAATGCAAGCTCTGAGAGGGCTGTCTCTAATATCATCATCAAGCGACTGAACCGAAAGGAAGAGCTTCTGCCGCTCGGCACCGAACCGCTTCGGATCACTGTGCCTTTCGCTCCATGTAAAAAGCACCACAGTCAGCACTACTTGAAGTGAGCAACGAAAAAGGATTGAGTTGCATGGTTTCGTTTACGACGCATAAATCACAAAGCATCAGCTGCAAATCAAGGCGCTTGTACAGTCGGATGAGCTCCTGGCGATCCAAAGCAGCTATATACAACTTCATGATTCGTTTTTAAGATCTTTTAAGCACGAATTCATCAAAGCATTGGATGACTTCACAAATCTCCACTCTGAAGTCATTCCAAGTCAACCGAGCCTTCCGCTTTGACTGAAAGTCCGCATCAGAAAAGCCCTGCAGCAAGTCACGCCTTGGGAACCAGAGGCACAGCTGGGCACAATTTGGCACAGAAACGCGAAGCTTTGTGAACCTTACTCAAAGTTACAGTTATTGCCCAACATCCAGGAAGGAAAACCGAGAAACACTATGAAACACCGGGCCACCAGACTGAAGCGCCAACGCTTGTGGAACCGTCAACTTCGGCGGTTCCCGTTGAGGCGCCACTCGAGCCACTGGAGGTCTCTGCGGTACCTGGTCGCTTGGACAGAACTTCTCAGCTTTTGCTGCTTTGGGTCATAGTGGAAGCCATGCCAAAAGCTGCCAAAATCCGCCGTCCAAAAGTAACCATTTTGGTTTGGACCGGTTAGGAGCCAAAGTTGAGGGTGCCCAGAGTTCCTGGAGTCCCATGTCTATCCATGTCCCAAAGATGGGACCACCTCTGGTTGGCGTTGACCCCGACTTTCACCAGGTGGAACGACGTCGAGCGCTTCATCGCCAGCAGTCCTGCATCCGGACAAATTCTTCTTAAGTCGCATCGTGCACAAACTGTCTATGGAGTATACAGTGCATGTCCGGCCTTAAGCTTGGGATCCCGAGAACAAGGAGAGCACGGCGATTGTTCAGCTTCTCCGAATCCTGTGCAACCAAGAAAAGGAGTTTAAAGTTCAAAGAATTCAGAAAAAGAAACTTAGACACGCTCTTACATGTGAAATGCCTGACCTAGCAAATCCGGTGCATCTTGGTGCTAGCTGCTGTCAGGCCCACCTTAAAGCCCGAGAATGCACCGTTCTCGCCAGCACGCTGCACAAGGCGGCACGTCTGCAAAAGCTCTGGCTTTCCAAGATGCTTGATCAAGGCCTGCGGCAGCAATCAAGACAGGATGCTCAAATCACCCAAATCCGAGGCAGAAGATTCGGAGGAAACTCTGGCAAGCATGATTCCTCACCTCTTTCACTGTTTTCATGGTCGCATTGCTCTTGACGGTCACTCGCACCTCCTCAGAATTACAAAGCTGTGAGTCAAACTCTCTCGAAATACAAAGTTGGTAATTACAGGTACGCAATTAGGACAAAGTGATGATGTCCATTTTGCATTGTTTTGCTAGAGCGCCTCATCGGGCGGGTGGTCTTCTTCCACAGCATGACGGATAATGACCTGTCGAAAAGATCTGAAAACATAGAAAAGTAGGAATCTACTGCGCAATTCAAAAGGCAGTACATTCACTTTGTTTTGTCGCCCAGTGCCCATAGCCTCAATGTCTCGAACCACTTCATTCTTTGGCGCAGGCGTCTTGGCGGCCTCTTTTCGCGGCTTCCCAACCTAAGTAACATTCGCATTTTGGTCGGTCAAACCTTCATTTTCTACTGATAGGGATTGACAATCCCCACTTCTGGATCAAACTCCTATTCATTCTTGTGTCAAACCTCCATTTGCCTTGGTAAAATCCATTATTAATGTCCCGCTTGTTTCAGCAACAAGCGGCGGCAGCTGGGCTTGCTTGGCTCGGCTTGGCAGGCTCTGGGAAGGCCTGCATCAAATCAATTCCGGGGCGCTGGCAACGGAAAATCAGCCTCATCATTTATAGACGGTAGTTGTATATATGAATATGGTTATTTCATGTTATTTCCAATAGCCAGGTCAGATTACCAAAGAGATGGTTTGAGGCACAGGGCAAAAAACAACAGAGATTCAGACTTCTTTGTTGTTCAACCACTACTCGGGTCTCAGCTTCTGAAAGCTATTTAAGGTGCTGCAGGGGCACCATCTTTATACAAGCAGGAAAATGTCCAAACATCTTCGCAACGCATACTTCGAGTTGGCTTCAAACCCAACTTCAAAATACTTCAAATCAATAACTACTCACTCTCAGGATCCGTATCTGGCGTTGGCTTCAAAGCCCAACTTCAAGCTGAAAGATGACGATGGGTTTGTGCGAGTGCCGCTCAGGGCCGCAGCTGAGGTGGCTGAGTCAGCTGTGGGTGCTTTGCCGCCTAGGGCATCCTCATACCATGCACTCACTTGATCCCAGTTCACCACATCCCACCAAGCTTTGATGTAGTCAGGACGGCGGTATTGATACTTGAGATAGTAGGCATGCTCCCACACATCACAGCCCAAGATTGGGATGCCTGCTGTGCCTTCCACACCCTCCATGAGAGGATTGTCCTGGTTTGGTGTGGAGGTAATTGCCAGCTTCTTGTCACCGTCAACAACCAACCAAACCCAGCCAGAGCCAAAGCGCGCTCCAGGGGCACCGGCTGCCTCAAACTTGGCCTTGAAGTCGTCCATAGATCCAAAAGAGTCATCAATGGCTTTCGCCAGCTTCTCTGAGGGCTTTCCTCCCTTGCCAGTGGGTGCCATCTCCAACCAAAAGAAGTTGTGGTTGTAAGCACCTCCACCGCTGTTGCGGAAGGCAGCACCGTCTTTGATTGCAGTCTTCTGCAGTTCCACAAGAGGTGGCTGTGTCTTGCCCTCCATTGCCTTGTTGATGTTGGTGACATACGTCAGGTGATGCTTGTCGTGGTGGAATTCCATTGTCGCTTTGTCGATAGAAGGCTCCAAGGCATCATAGGCATAAGGCAAATCTGGCAAATCATATGCCTGAGCAGACTCCAAACCCAGCACACCTGCCAATCCACTGGCAAAGCCCGCTGCCAAAGAGCGCCTGGTAGCATTTGTTGGGCTCACAAAGCCTCGCTCCAAGCAACAGACCAGCAAGCAGCCCACCACTAAGGTGGCAGCACCGCGAAAGCGACGCGGAGCCATCTTGGACACCAGACTTCAGCGGCCGTTTAAATGAGAGCACAATGCTGCAAAGGACAAATCATGCAGTGCAACTCTCAGCAGAAACGGGCAATGCAAATGAATCAGCACAATCTAGTCATGGTCGAACTCAAACATGGATTGAGCCTCTCTTCCGCATTTTAAACATAAGCAATGTGAATGTCCCAATGGATGCCACATGCGCATCAACCATCTTGTCTGGATGCATCCAGGTCAATTTTTGGCAGCGTTTGACAAAGCTGTCTGCAAAAGAGATAGAAGCATATCATATATCGTTTACCTTCCAGAAATCGAACCTCGCCAAAGAATGCTCTTCCTATTGATCAAAAATTGCGACTGTTTTGCCATGTTTGGTATTTGGAGGCCCCTTTTTTGTCAATCTTTGAGCATAATGCCTTAGTGTCTCAGCTTGTCAAAGCCTTTCTACAATGCCTAAAATTGTACAAAATCTATAGGATCCAGAAAATGCACGAGCATCTTCAGGACACAAATCTTGTCAGGTTCAAATCCGACTTCAAATAGATAGATGGAGCATCAGGACCTAGCTTCTACTGGCTTCAAAGCCCATTCCACGTGAAGAGTCAAGATGTCAAGAAATTATGCTGCGGGTGCTTTGCCGCCCAAGGCATCGTTGTACCACTTACTCACTTGATCCCAGTTCACCACATCCCACCAAGCTTTGATGTAGTCAGGACGGCGGTATTGATACTTGAGATAGTAGGCATGCTCCCACACATCACAGCCCAAGATTGGGATGCCTGCTGTGCCTTCCACACCCTCCATGAGAGGATTGTCCTGGTTTGGTGTGGAGGTAATTGCCAGCTTCTTGTCACCGTCAACAACCAACCAAACCCAGCCAGAGCCAAAGCGCGCTCCAGGGGCACCGGCTGCTTGAAATTTCGCCTTGAAGTCATCCATTGATCCAAAAGAGTCATCAATGGCTTTTGCCAGCTTCTCTGAGGGCTTTCCTCCCTTTCCAGTGGGTGCCATTTCTTTCCAGAAGAAGTTGTGGTTGTAAGCACCTCCACCGCTGTTGCGGAAGGCAGCACCGTCTTTGATTGCAGTCTTCTGCAGTTCCACAAGAGGTGGCTGTTTCTTGCCCTCCATTGCCTTGTTGATGTTGGTGACATACGTCAGGTGATGCTTGTCGTGGTGGAATTCCATTGTCGCTTTGTCGATAGAAGGCTCCAAGGCATCATAGGCATAAGGCAAATCTGGCAAATCATATGCCTGAGCAGACTCCAAACCCAGTACACCTGCCAATCCACTGGCAAAGCCCGCTGCCAAAGAGCGCCTGGTAGCATTTGTTGGGCTCACAAAGCCTCGCTCCAAGCAACAGACCAGCAAGCAGCCCACCACTAAGGCGGCAGCACCGCGAAAGCGACGGGGGGCCATCTTGGACACCAGACTTCAGCAGCCGTTTAAATGAGAGCACAACGCTGCAAAGGACAAGATTAGATCATGATAAATTTAAATCAATAAAGTTCAGTAAACATGAATTCCCTGACCTTAGGGCCTTAGGGACTACTGACAAGCCTCTTTCCTGTTGGTAGAGCCTGTCCCCAGTGCCTCTTTGGTTGCCGGCCGGGGTCGTCCGTCCGGTGTCAAGCGCAGAAGCGCATTAAGTTCCGACCTGCGGGGGCATTGGGACCATTGGGACCATTCAATTTCAGGGTTAACCGGTCAACCATCTTGTGCTGTGTCGAAGCGGCATGCACAAAGCACTCTGACAATCCACAGAAAATGGAAAGAAATGAAATGACACAATGATGCGTTCTCAGTTCATCCCATCGTGTTGCAAATTTCAAGTCGTCATTTTTTTCACCGCTCCTAGGAAATCTGCCAGAATCTGGCGGTCTTGCGTCAGCCTAAGGCAGAACCGCAAGCAAGACTCAAGTTGCCATGCGCTTGTTGTTCTCAACTAGACGTTCTGTGGCTTCTGGAATTGAGTTTTTAGATGTTTTTATTGGGACATTTCTGGAGCAAAATTCTCTGCGGCAACTACGCACTAATTGACCTCGAATTCGACTGTCGTAGCCGAGTGAGACATGGCAGTTTCCACTGCCTGGCATCGGACCCCATCATGGCCATCTTGTCACTGTCATGGTCATTGTGGTCACGGTCGTTGTCGAGACCTGCTTCCAGGGTCGTTTGAGGTTGCTACAATTATCCCGTATTTGTAGTATAGGATATATAGGATCAACATGACTGAAGCTCTCATGAAACACTAGCAATCATGCAACCAAGCTGCTTTGATCTTTCCTCAGCTCACCAAAGACTGCTGGTTTTCAAAAGATCATTTCACTCTGGTGCCCAAAAATCCCAAGAATAAACTGAGTTGTCGTTTGGAAATGTGAAATACTCCCAATTCTCAGGGGCTGTGTGGCGTTGATCACCTGCTGTGTCGCTATTTTGCTTCAAGGATGGCCAAAAAGGAAAGGACCACCAGAAACATGGAAGAAACCTTTGTGACTATCTACTTTGCCTTTGCCTTTCGATTGAAACAGGATGCAGCACTAGACCTCAAATGGAAAACAAAAAATGTTGAGGCCCTCAGAAAACCAGCCGCCGGCCATTTTCGCTGAGAATCCATTCTCTATCATGGCTTCGCTAGCCCTTTCTTCAAGACAAGAAAAACCGGATGCTTGCTTGCTCCTCACAAACTCCAGCAATCTACCAGTACCTTAGCAGCACAGCGAATTTTGTATGCAAAACGAAGACTTGGTGGACCTCCCCGAAGTGGTGGGGGTCAACCCCCTCGTTTCCTGCATCTGTTTCCCTCGAAAATCAAGCGAGGTTGTCCCCATGGTTGTTAGTTCTACCCCCCTTTATCTTATTTCAAACTTCAATTCTGGCTGGTTCAAACAGTGAAGACCCCAGCCACTCAGTGCCTCTCTGACTGTTTCTCTCCACTAAGTGCTCCAGCCATTCTCGCCAGAACAAAGATTAAGAGGATCCTTTAAGCCTCAACGCAGCTTGACATCTGATCCGACTGAAGTCAGCGCCTGTTATATCCTATGACCACCATGAAGTCAATAGCTGTCATTGAAGAATGCCTTTGAGGTGATAAACCCTGGGTTTGTCCCACCGACCCTTCTCGAGCTTCGGCAAGCTTTGTAGAAATTGGGGCCCGGACAACATCCCTCGTCCTCAGCTGACAAAAGACAGCCAAGGCACCAAACAGACATCGCATGTTGCTTGGGGTACGGTATTATTGGCGTGTAGCGCTCTCTAGAGTGAATCATGTCAAATATTGCCAAATCATGCTGTACATTGTACATCTAGGATCTGAGGCATTATCTATTTACTATGAAATCGGTGTAAATCCTTTTTACATCATGCAACAACATCATGTGTTTTATCGTATAATAGCACCTCACGTTTTATTCTATGATGCTCTCAATTCATATCAATATCATGATGTGTTTTGATGGAGCAGCTTATCATGATTATCTCTGTTTATCTCACATCTTGATTTATATATAGTTGACAGTTTGAAGATTGTGAATAGTTTAGTTTGCCTGTGATGTTTCATCGTCTCATGCGACACAAGGCCATATTATATATATATTATATATATATATTATATATTATATATATATACATATAATAATTACATATATATACTTATATATATATATATATATGCACCGGGATCTCACAACGTGTGTGCAATGTGCAGCCGATGTCAATACATGTTTAACGAGTACAAGCAAATACGCACGTGTGCATGTGTTCCGCACTTATACCTTATACAGTAACTTATCAAAGGAAGTTTAGGGGGAGAAACTTCCGTGTTACGGACTTTTAGAATGTCAGGGAAAGAGTTAGTCAAAGAAAGAGTTAGTGAGGGAAAGAGTTAGTCAAAGAAAGAGTTAGTCAGGGAAAGAGTTAGTCAAAGAAAGAGTTAGTCAAAGGGAAAGAGTTAGTCAAAGAAACAGTTAGTCAAAGAAAGAGTTAGTCAAAGAAAGAGTTAGTCAAAGAAAGAGTTCGTCAAAGAAAGAGTTAGTCAAAGAAACAGTTAGTCAGGGAAAAAGGTAGTCAAAGAA